ATAAAGGGGAAATACATCATATTTCCTCTTTTAAAGTCTACAGATACCGAGGTTGCAATTACGCACAAAGCATATTATGATTGTATCTCAAAACGTGAGATATCTGAAGAGGAGGGAAAGTTTGTCGAGAGGCATTCGTTAGGCATTGTACAAGTACACAAATTGCGATTAGAAGACATACGTCGAATACCTGTATCCCTTTGGTTGCATTTTGTATGGCGTTACTGTCTGAACATAGGGGATTCCGGTCTCTATAATGCCATAGCGACAAAAGATCTGAGAGAAATATATGGAATCGATATGGAAGAAAGGCGGCTAAATGTGAAAGGCAATGGAATCGTAAATATGATGTTTACAAAGCTCCCGAGAAAGGAAGTTGTGAAAGAAATAGAGAAATGTATTGTTGAACGCGTTGAAGAGTTCCATGGTGAAATAAGTAAAGACATTGACTTCATATCTCTAGCGAAGCTGTATGAGCTATATGGACTTAAAAACGAAACAAATATGTGTAAGGAACGCATAGAAAAACTGAAAAATGCTCTCGACACAATGTGCATGCTAGAATGTGGAATTTAACTTTATATTGATTTGTGCTTTGACATTGTTGAACAGATTTTAGTGTTATGTCTGTAAATAAAACAATTATTTAATATTTCTGTAAATTTTTAAACTACGGTAAAATGTGCTTTTCAGTGTTATCATTTCAAAATTTATAATATCATATTTCACAAACCATTTGTACGATTGTTTTTGTACTTGACACTTTTACTTTTCTTACGCCAATCTCAATATGTTGGCCTTTTTAGTTAAATTCCGGTAATTTAAGGTTATAGACAAACGTCATGGTGTTCTAAATGCAATATTCTAACACGACCCGCATTTTTCCCTATTGAACATAGAAGAACTGAAAGTGTGTATTATTATGCAATAGAGTCACTGTTTGACGTTCTATATTTAGACGTGTGACGTAATCATTGTACATGAGACGTAACCGCTATGAAATCCGACGCGCTGACAATAAGTACGGAAACAAATCAGGCGCAATTTTGCTTAATAGCAGGTACGGCACCATTTATTTGTTTATGTCGTGTTAGAATCGAAATAATATATCCAAATCGGTAATTTTATCGCTGGATAACATCACTGTTTGTCGTTCGGATGCGCAACATTATATCACTCGGGCTACGCCCTCGTGATATAATTCCTCGCATCCGAACTCCAAACAGTGATGTTATTGAGCTATAAAATCACAGTTTGGGATATATTATTTCTTAAATATTTGTTGAGCATCGCCCATATGGTATTTATTCCAGTGGCTAGGGTAAACAAACTTTAACACATGCACTGAAAATAATTGGCTCATAATTGGCACATATTACTTTATATTCATATTTGTGAAGTAAATCAAATAGGTTGTTCTTAAGATATATGTCATATACTAGTAATTAAGTATGAAGATACATATGACGATTGTTGTATATTTTGTCTTAAACCTGTGAACGGAAGTCATCCAAAGAAAAAAAAAACGAACGTAGTATTTATAGACAAGTGACCTTTATTTGGAGGTTACTCTGTTGTATTATAAAGAAAGATGTTTAAGACCGGCCTTTACTAACAGAGTGGTCTTTTTTCGGAGGTGATCTTTAACACAAGTTTGACATGAAATATATGTATATAATTATCATAGATTTATGCGATTCTTTTATGTAAAATAAATTTCTTATTTGATTGCAATGCATTATATACTGTGTATTAGTTATTAAATGTTTATGGTTAATAAAACGATTGAAAAAACGTGGACTTTGTTTTTACGGTCAAAATCCATCAAATGATAACAAAAAATTTGTTTTTAAATTTATTTGTATGGGTTTTACGTGGTACCAACACTTTAAAGATCATTTGACGACATTCCTGCTTACTGGTGAAAGAATACGCCAGGTGTCCCTCTGTGCATAATCAGACACAAACGGGTATGCAAGCAGAACGACCGACGTTCAGTCAGCTAGTTGAATAACTTCCACACATTAAAAAATCCATATTCCTGACAGGATGTGAACCCACAGCGGTGAGGGGCATGTGGTTTCAAGTCAACGACCATAACTACTCACCCGCACTACCATTATTATTGAACTAGGGCGATGGTGTGAACTTAATATGACATGCATGAAAGAAATCAAATTGCATGCTAACAGGCTTATCAAACCAAAAGTAAAAATAATCTACGTATATTTATAGACAATTGCCAAATTGAGTGTGTCAATGATAAAAAACATAAGCCAGTTACATTGACCAAAACCTTACATGACATACTCAGATAGTTAGCGTTTTCAAAAAGATTAACATTGAATTATCTTTATTCTGCCGAATTAGGCTCTAATTAAAGGGACTCCACTGAGGCTTAAAAGCCTAAAAACATAACATTTGAAATTCTTACATAAATGAGCTGGGGCACTTTAAACAGAAATATATGCAAAGATAGTTAAGAAATATACTTTGAAATAAATTGAAAATCGTATTTTTATGATTTTCTTAGCCTGATTTGAGTGAAAGGTGTTTTACATTTTGGGTATTTTTTTTTACAATTTGAATAATAATTCTGGAAAAAACAAAGTGCGAGAATGATCTGAAATTTTGCACAAAGATTAATGGTCTAAACCTACATCAAATGGTACATTTATCTGGAAAAAATATTTTCAGTCCCATCATGTCAAAATACCTTAGTGGAGTCCCTTTAAGTCAAGATATGCGAAAATTGTATTTTAATGCATATATACATTAAACCCATATTTGATTATGGGTGCGTACTTGTGTAAAAGTACCGCAAATTATATTTGCAAGATATATACTACACAAAAACGAGCTGATACTTGAAAAAAATATGTCCATTCATTCATTTCTTTACTTATAGTACTAAAATGAATTCCATTCATGCAGTACATGAAGAAACTATCATATTAGAATACCTTTTTACAAGACGCTAAGTGATCTTACACCAATATACATTTGCCCGTCAGGGGTAAGCCATTGTTTCCTTGAGCAAGAAACTATACATGCATTGCTTAGTACTGGTTGGTTCCAGGAACGAATTCGAAAGTGTTTTGATGAGCTTGTAGCTTCCAACACAATCGAATTGAAGAAAATGCGGATAAATTAAACTAATATACATGAACGGTGTATTAAAGACTTGCACAAACAGGACATCTTATGCCCATCTTCGCATTGCAATGATATATTGCAATTCTATGTTAAATTTTAATTTTTCCAAAAGCACATTTCAGTATTATATAGAGGATATTTGTTAAGTTCAGTGTAAGATCGGAATATATTTCACCGAGTGAGCACCAAAAGGTATAGTTCACGAGTGGCGCAGCCACGAGTGAAATATGAACTTTTGGTGTTCACGAGGTGAAATATATTTCGATCTTACACTAAACTAAACAAATTCTCTTTTTATTACATGCTAAGAAACGTTTAAAAAGACATTTTATCCTAGTACTAAATGAAAAGCGCGCCAAATTCTAATACAACGTGACGTCATTTACGACGTCACGTCATTAAGCTGGTTTCCAGTACTGTGCACGCTGGTATTTCTCTGAGACAACGTAACGGGCTTAAATTCAAAACAGTGAAATTATCAAATTGATAATTTTACTGTTTCAGACAGTGAAATTACCAGTTTATAAATCACTGATATATTTCTATAATCCATCGAAAAGCATGTAATAAATAGGTATAATTAATATTCCTGTTGATATTCGTTATTCTCAAAAATAACTCATTTTCAATACAAATTTTAAAGATACCTATTTATTAGCAGCCATTTCTCTAAATATCATATTTTACCCATTAACATGAACTGGTAAAATTTTGAATTTTGAAACACTCGCAGATTTGTTCATATGGCAATTATCACGGAACCTTTGATAAATCTTTTTTTTCGGAAATCGTAAACTTGTCGTCGATTTCTAAAGGTGTGCTAATTTAAACGCCAAACATGATGTTGTGGTCAATGTCCTGAAACATACTTTAAATACTAAAAACAATGGAACATTCTCGCCTTGATTCGGTCTAGAACGTATATATTAACAAACTCTTGTTTAGTTTATTTTGGCGACGGCAATATATATTAAAAGTCATTTTGTTGTTCATATGTGGATAAGCGCTCCATAATCATCTTCGAAATACAATGCAGTATAATTTTGAACTATTTAAAGTCAGAGATCTTATAAAATATACAGAACCTGTGAATATCAAACCCGCCAGATTATATACGACGTCAGTGTTTTGACCAGTGTAAATTGCTTGTAGTTTTTAATTCATCGAGAAGATTGGAAAGGCGCAATAACGGCATCAAACAAATCGTTTAAAGTTAGTATAGAATATCTACAAAAGGACACATTTAACAGAAGATGAAAATGATAGCTATAGGCAATTGTAACACCTTTGATTGCTGAGGCTTCACCTGATAAGGGAAATAATTTCGCCCAATGCCAGATAAACAGTGTCTATTTTAATGATGGATTCTAATTATGTTTTTTTTTGCTATTTTGTTCGTTTTTGTTTCTATTCTGTCACGGATTTATATTACATGTAATATAAATCCGTGATACTGTTTACATTGATATTTTATTGTAACACATTACAAAATAATATTACAATACCTTGATGATGAATAATTAATATAGATGACCTCGATCCCCTCATATATACCTAAATTACGGGGCCTGGGCCTTTTTGCTTTGTGAAAGACAAACGCGTAATTTTTCTTAAAATTATGGAGTTTTATCGTAATTTTCATTAAAATTGTATTAGAAGATACTGATACACAATTTGTGAAAGTCAGATTGCAACACATTTTTTCTTAATGAAATAAAAACCCTATTAACGTGTGATATTTTACCATGAAATAATTACATATCTCGTTTCGTTTCACCAAAGTTTTAATTTAGTACTTTTGTACCTAATAAATTATCGTCAGTGGAAATATATATGAGCACACCGTCTACATCCAACTGCTTCCGGGTTGTTGCATTTTGGGATATTATTTATTTCCACGCTGAAACATGACACTTTCATCGATTTTTTGACAACTCCCATTCATTAAATACTTACAATTTACAATGGAAACGGACTTTGTCTCAGAGGTTGACAGAAAGTTCTTCGCAAACAACATGCTTTCCAATGAGGATTGGGGTATTTCTTTTACGATCTTTCACAAATTTAAAAAAACTTCCTTGTCTAGACTACCACTACGCTGCGTTCTAAATTATTCTGATAATATACTTTTATGAATTGATGATTGTAGGCTGTGTTAGTTAAATATAAAATTGTGTAAGGTCATGAATGTCGTGGAGGAAGACTGCAGTCTCTGACACTTTATTAAAATTAAGAGGATTTATACAGTGAAACTGGCTGATAGGGTAGGGTTATTGTCATCCCGGGTACTACTTGATGGCCTCAAATGTACATTGAAATATACTCAATATACCCTGACAGTCTTAAAAACTGTAATGACTGATATTGATAGGATAGCCCAGAATCATCGTACAGGTATGACTATGAATGAGGCAAAATGTCAATGTCAGTGCCTTGACCGATTTTATAATGCATAGTACTACAGAACTGCTCAAAGCGATTTTTGCTTTTTCTGCTTTGTCACTGCGGGCACTTGTGATCGCAAGTGGAAAATGCTGTGGAACATACAATGGTCATTGACAGTTACAAATCAATGCGGACGGTAAAAAAAAACTGCAATCTGTGGAGTCAAACCCCAGTCACACTAGAGCTTACGATTACTTGCGACTACCGGCCACGTGTAAAACCGATGATCATCGGCGATTGTCTGAGACCAAGCCCTCTTTGAACAGATAAATTTACTTCTGTGCTTAAAGTACGACCAATCATCATTGACAATCGCACAACAGGTCATCAGCAAAGGTACGATGGTCTCAAGATTGCCTGGGATTACTTACGACTACCCGTGACCTGTCATGGGATCACCTACAACTTGTCGTACGACCACCTCACAAGTATTAAAGACTACTCAAGATTATCAGTGACTAGTGGCAATTTGTAAAGGCTGTCAGTGCCAAAACACCATTTTTGGGGAAGGGGCCTCAGCCTTTTTCTTGGGGAAAATATGCGTGAATTTGGCATACTTTGGGAAAAGGGGTCTTAAATTTAACACAAACTTTTAACAAGTTCTTCAAAATAGAAAAGCAAAAAGCACTGGGAAATACAAATAAGGCAGTCAAAATCCTTAATTCAACACCATCATTTAATTTTGTTCTAAATTCTATGGGAAATTTCAAAAGACTGGGGAATTTTGAGGACCTAACTGGGGAAAAAAAGAGGCTAGTTTGGTTGGGGAAGTAGCCTATATTCGGCCCCTACAAAGAAGGGTTTTTTGGCCCTGGCTGTCATAAGATTGTCGCACTTTCGAGCGACGATCATGCGACAGCCTAAGACCTTATAAGATCACTAGCAATCTGTTTGATCGTAGAGAGGTTTTTGTGCAAGCTCAAAAACCTCTCTACGACTGAAATTGGTTGTGGGACCTAAATAAAGTAACCTGTGACTATCGAAGATCACCGATGACCGTCGCAAGACGTTTTAAAGATTGTCCGCTACCAGTGGTCACTGGTGATCATGAACTGGTCTTTACTGGTCGTAAACTCTAATGTGACTGGGGCTTTAAATCAGAGATTCGCCATGATCAGTAATACATATATATATATCTATATGTTCATGTCCATGTACAATGTATTCTTGATTATGATAGAAAAAGATCAATAACATTAATCTATTCAGGGCTTTTTTTCTTTCTATAGCAGGGGACGTTATACAGGGTTGCTTCCCCAAAGAAAAATTCTTTAAAATCATGCAGTTTTCCCAAAAAGTTAAATTTATATCAAGTTTTTTCTTCCCCTTTTGCAAATATACTGTGTAATTTTTCCCCAAAATTAAGGGCAGGGCTGCTTCCCCAATCTGTGAATAAAAAGCCTTACTATTGCTTTTTTAACACCCATAATTTTATCTAACTTTTCTGTGTATGTATAAAAATGGATTTATGGATAGTTTTGAAGTTCCATTTGCGTAAAAAAAACCCAACCACAAAGCAGATCAATCAAAATGCACTTACGATTGATATGTCAATTATTTACACTATAATTATCCAACAAAAATATTGTTTAAAAATATTGTTGTTCTTGAGCAATGATTAAATATGTGTAATTTTTTCTTGATATAAAAAAATTAAATGATGACTTTTTTCTGATCTATAAAAGAAAAATACAATTATATCATGTCAAAGGTTAATTATTACCCATGGCCCATACTTTTTACAGAATGGACCATCATTTTCAGACCAGATGGACTCAGGGTTTAGTACTTCCAAATTTTCTGCAGGTCTCTGATACATTGCGCTGTCAGTCATTTTGGCCACATACAAACTTAGCACAATAGTAAATACAACTCACTCTCGGATAGATCTGTAGATATGAAAGTTATTTTTGTTACACTTTTTTAGTACAAAAATATAATTAGATGGTATTGTTGGTTCTGGGCCAAGTGGACTCTTTTTAATACAATTTAGGTTTATCATGTTTCTGTAGTACAGTAGTAGGATTGCATGGTGACATCCATGGCAGTCATACTGTAACATTTTAAAAAAGACCATTAATTAAAGCTACATGCCTCCAGATGAGCAGTGATATTTCAAAAAAGTTAAGTTTGGCTAAAATTTTTGAAAAGTAAAATGTTTCAAGATTCAAGTAATGATTTACATGTGAAATGCGTTTAAGGGCTGGTTTTGCAGTATTTATCACCATATTTCTACTGTGTTACTATCACAGTGAGGGCTAATTTTGCTTATTTTTACCTCTTATTTGGTAATTTATGTAGATTTCAAGAGCTGTTTGCAATGTTTATATTATTTTCTTTGTTCACTTCACAATATTTTACTTTTAAATACAGCTTTAAGATTTTCATGAAAATCAGCATGAATCTGGAGGCATGCTGCTTTAAGAAGTGTGTGCCATTAACATTTACATTGTACAAGTTACAACAGTAACAAGATGAAGAATTTGAGAAATAACAGGTGTTCCTTTATAATTTTTCAGTTAGTGAATTAAAGAAAATGCTGAACAGCGTCCAATTATTCAATAAGCATAGTAAAATTTAAAAAAAAAATAGAATCAAACACCGTTATTGATTTTTCAAGCAAGAGTTCTGAACAGGCTCATCAAATATTTGCAGATATTTGGCCTAATTCACTTTCAGGGCATAAAGAATATGTTTAATTGTATCATATGATATTAAAGTGAGTCTATTGATCACTAATGTAAAATGATTTCATTGTTGCTGAAAATTAAGCCCCAACAAAGATACTGTTACAGGGCTCATCCTGGGGGGAAATTTTAGGGAGAAGTGACTTCCTCGCGAAAAATAGGGAGAAGGGAATCAGCCCAATGTGTATGCATTACCATGCATGGCTATACATCCTTATTAACTATAATATAAACACAATTAAACTATTTATCAGCTATTTATAAGCTTTCTCTACACATTTGTTTATATATTTTCATGTAGATTTATTGATAATAATGTGTAAGAAAAAATTTGATGAATAAATTAATTTCATATTTTTACTTTCCTCACTTTTAATAGAAGATAAAGTTTCAAACAAAATCTGCCTATTCTGTTCTGATTACAGAAAATTCTTATATGACCTTGCATCTTGTAATATCATATTTATGTGCATATACTTATGCTTATAAAACAATTTTCAAACATCGAAGAATATGTAAAATATGTACTGCAAACATTTGTGCACATTATATTTGATCACTAAAATTATATACATTCATTTCTTATTGAAAAATTTGACTGAGAAATTATAGAAAATAAATTTCTAATTACCTCCCTTTATTTTCATGAAATGTTAAACTCGTAATATCTTTATAAATAATGCTTTTTGAAATTTACAATATTGATAAATCTTAATCTGAGCGTCATATTTATGACATTAAAACAAATATATATATTGAAACAATAAGAACACGTCTTTCCTGACAAATTTTGTTGTTATATACATGTACACATATGATATACGACCAATTTGTAGCATGCCGATCATGATACGTGCGTAAGCTGTGTCAAATTTGGCATTTCTACAAAGATAACAATGCCAAACACTCTCACTGTCTGCAACATACCACTCGTAAGTTTTTTGCGAATTGGCTTTCTTAAATTTTTGCGTAGAATTTTTGCGTCAGAACCAGTAACTTTCTTTTACTTCTAGGTTTGGGCATTTCGCCCTGTAGCCATGACGTGAGCGACAAAATTTTTTTTTATTTATGTTAACGGACTGAAATCATTCAAAACTATGATTAAGTTTTTAATCCGGTCGCTGATCATTAATGAAATTGATTATTTTTAATTGACTAACAGTTTTGTGATAGCCGTGAAAAACCAATTAGGGAAGATTTGCACGTGTTTAGATGATCGGGAAAAAACAATCTATAATTATCGCCAAATCCCGTATTAAACTCGTAAAACTGTCACACAATTATACCCGTTTCGGGCCGATGCTCTCATTATTTACTGTTTAGGGTAGGCGGTCTATCGCTTTGCATACAGGTAGAAGGGTAGTATAAAGCGACGCTCTGATTTGATAATGATAATTAGCAGTCGTCATATGGGCGTATACAATCTCTGCTCTTTACATCGCCAAGCAATTACTCTTTGGGAATTAAGATTTTATCGGCGATGTTGACTTCTCTTTGATCAATTGTGAGAGCGAAATGGAAATATACACGGCGAAGTTTTCGCCTGAATCGCCCTTCCGGATGAGCCCTGTGTTATTACTTGTATTTCTTAAAAACTTTTATAATCTCTGGGTGTCCTTTTTGGCTAAATTTATGAGACATTATTTCACATTCTGCGCTTCATTCTTCAGGTGATAGTTCTTAAACATGCTCTGTAATATCCATAATTATAGTATAATATCATACATGTATGTCAAAAGAAGATGAAAGGTCATTTCTTTTGGTTTACTGACTTTAAATGGACTCCACAGAGGTTACACAGAAACTGGAAATATTTTTGCCAAAATTTGTGTGGAAGTCTGGAAAAATAACTTGTGTGCAAATTATCAGATACCTTACCTTGTTTTACCAGAATTATCATTTTTCATGCTAAATTAAAAACTGAAAATTAAAAGCATTACAATGCTTTTCAAGCAAATCCAGGTAAGAATTGTACAAAATATCAATTTAAAATTTGATTTTAAATACCGTATATTTCTTCTCATTTGCAGATTTTTACCATTATAAGTGCTTCATTTAAAATTTCTAAGATTTTCAAACTTTTTGTTTTTAGACCTTTGGATTGGAATTCCTTTAAAATAGAAAGATAGTTTATTCATATAAGATGTGTACTTTAAGATTTAATTGATAAAAAAATGACTATTTGGTAAATAAATGTTTTTCCTTGTGTCACAAAATTTTCTCAATATAATTAATTCTTTCATATTGATTTCATGATGTGTTGCCAAGCAGTGTATTAATAAGTATGTAATATGATCTCAGTGAAAATAGTAATGTGAAACAAAAAAAATCTTATTATTAGATGAAGCATTATGAGGTGACAATTTCACAATCAGCAAAATTGCTTTGTCTGATATATTTTAAGACAGGAAATGCTTATTTAAGACCGGCAATGAAAAATTAACAGGAAATGAAAAAAATAAAGATTTTATGCAATTATTGTTTTGATATTATCACCAATTAAGGTGCTAATTACCGATAATTTGGAAAAGTCAGCTGTTTGAGATCAGATATAGTAGATAATGCATGGTGATGAATAATTAAATTGTGTAATAATCAATAATTATAACAACAACAACAATAATAATAATGCTAGTGGTCACAACACCTTTAGATTTTGCTGTAATTCAGCTGTAAATGTTATATATATATATTGAAAGAGTGTTTTATTTGATTTCATATTTTTGTTTGGACTTACTGACATCTGCTATGTATAGTTTTATGCTGATGTTGTTATATTTTGATTTTGATTATTTTTTAAATACATGATTGTGATTAGTGTTTAAAATAGGAAAAAAATGGAATAACCTGTTGCACATTCTTTTTGGAAAAAATTAAATGGATTAATTTGGTGTAATAAAGTAAAAGTGGAAATTATGTTGAGATAAATGGTTAAAAAAAAAATGGATGTAATTTTAGATTTAGGATTAGGAGGTGATTATGTTTTATATAAATTATAATTATATTAATTGATTATTATATTTTTTTTTATTAATTCATGAGATTTAATGTGTTTCTAAGTCAAATTTTGGGAGACTAACATTATTTCACTGTTTATGAAATAAAACCACTGGAACATGTCATTTTTAAAAAAAAAATGGGGATTTAAAGGCACATTATTTGTCAGAAACAAATAAAAAATGACGTCTTTAGAAAGAGCAAAAAAAGAGTTTTAAAGGTTTGAAATAATGGTGTTAGACCATATTAGATGCTTGCTTATTTGAGAAAGTAGCGCTGCTCAATGTAAAATTAATTGTCATAAAAATAGAAAAATGAGCCGCGCCATGACAAAACCAACATAATAGGTTTGCGACCAGCATGGATCCAGACCAGCCTGCGGATCCGCGCAGTCTGATCAGGATCCATGCTGACCAAAATTATATAAATTTAAGCTTTTGAAAAATGAAAATAAAAAACTCTTTTGAGGCATAATGGGCCTTTGAAAATGTGCAATTTTAAGACGCATTTTTTTTCCAGTTAATGCATGTTGTCTTCTCTGTTTAAGTACACATGTATGTAAGGCTGTTAGTGCGTTTTTTATGCAAGAATATAAAATTATATTTATCATAATATAAGAATATTCAATGACAAATCTTGATAAACAATATAAATGAGGAAAAAATTCTGCTAAAAAAAGCAACCCAAAATCACGTATTAAAACTGAAATAATTATAAAAAGGAAGAAGGAAGTTTTAAGTGTAATTTATCGTTGTAAATTTTGTCGGGTATTTTATGCTTCTGTCTATTGTTAGGAACAAAGGATTTAGCACTGTATGTTAGTGACATGAATATTTAATGTAAAATATTGGCTTTTAAAACCTGTAAAAGCAATATTTATATTTGTATATGGCATAGTTAAAATTGATCCATTTTTACCTGGAGCCTGTCTGTTTCACACAATATGATACAATATAGTATAAGTATATAGGAAATATATCAGATATTTTGATATCTGTCATCTTTAATAGCAGTTCAGTTTTCAGAGATCAATATTGACAACTGTCACCTAGAAAAACAAAGAGAGTTTGCCCATATATGGCAGTTTATAACAGCCTCAATGGTGCCCAGGTGTTCGTAATCAGCAGTTAATGAAATTCTGAATATTAAATCTATATTCCGGGGCTTTTCATTTCGTAGAATAGCTTGCAACAGAATTTCTATATAGCTCTTTTAGTACTTTTTGCGGGGGTTTTGCTATATGGGAATATTCTTGACAGCTTGAAGAGTATGAGTATTAATTGAAGAAAAAAAGTCTGATAACAATTTTTATTAAGATATTATTATGTAGAGTCAAAGTGATAGTCATGAAGGGACACTTTGTGTGTGCGAAATGTAATACATGTATAATATTAGCCGTAAAACAGTTTCTCCTATTTCTATAAGAGATTCATTAATTTTCTATTGCAGTCATAGTTTCATAAATTTTAATATATCTATTTTTGTCAGCACAGGTAATTTAAGTGCTATCTCTCGACTCTGTACTGACTGAATTTTTTAAAAAATTTAAACCAATTTTTTTAGACAAAGTAAAACTGTTTTATAATGTAACACAATGTTTGCCTTTCCTATTGAAGAAATTCACAGGCTTAATGTGCCTTTAAAATGAGTTTTAGAAATGACAGAAACATTATTCAGTGTCTATCAAACAGAATGTATAATGTCAAGTCCTAACTTTATATATAGATCAGTACTATTTGATATTGATTAATATGGTGAGAAAACTGCCAGATTAACATTCAGGAACAAAACTATAAAAATGCCACTGGGACTTCACTTATACAAGATTTTGTAAAAAAATTTGATATTTAACTTCCTGAAACGTTAATGCTTTTATCTTAAAGGTTGGCAATTTGTGTAAGTGCTCGATCTTGTTCAAACACATTGTCAGATATATACATTATGTACTAACGATTAAGTGTATTGACTTTAAGGCCATGCATATTGTATATTTCAGAGGAAGGTAGTCTAGTACTGGTGAAACTCTCCAGGAACGATGGTTAGGAAACTACCCGCCTATATGACTGAAATACTGTTGGGAAAAGGAGTAAAATGAAACAAACAAACAAAAAGATATTGTATATTTTCAGAGGCGAGTATGGAGTTAACGGAGATTATGGATCTAGACTCCCACTTACCAAACATGGATTTCATCAATGATTTTCAAAGTGACATGCAGGTAAGCTGTAGGGACGTGTCTGTAGATTACTGACAGTTCTCTATTTTTGACAAGACAAATGAACTCTGTTACGTTTAAATCGCTACTATCAGAACCAGGATTAAAGAACATGCTTCACTTAAAGTTTTTTCTGAGTTTAGAAAGTGCATATTCATAAGATTAGTGAAAACCCCATTTCAGGGCCTGTAATTAAGTAATATATACATGTATGAGGGACAGTTTAATAGCTGGTTGAGTAGAAGCCCCAGGAGTGTATATCGAAAAAAATGTGATCATTTATAAATAAATAAATCCGGAACTAGGCACATGTGGGGTTTTCCAAGCAAATCTCCCGTTCAAACAAACTTTTACAGTTATATCTTCATTTAGCACTACCGGTCACAATAGATAATGATTAATCAACCTGTTAGGCTTATTTACCAAGCTGTAACTGTAAAAGTTTATTTGTACCCACAGGTTTGCTGGGAAAACCCAAAATATTCTGTATTCCGGAGTAAGTCTATTATAGCCTTTTGGTTTTTCCACATTGATAATATTTTTAAAGAGAATGCACAAAATGACATATGTGTAATGTTTTGCATATACTTACAAATAATACACAAAATGACATATGTGTAATGATTTGCATATACTTACAAACAATACACAAAATGACATTCGTGTAATCATCATCACAGTTTTGCATATACTTGAAAGTATACACAAAATGACATATGTGTAATGTTTTGCATATACTTTCAAAGAATACACAAAATGACATATGTGTAATGTTTTGCATATACATACAAAGAATACACAAAATGACATATGTGTAATGTTTTGCATATACTTACAAAGAATACACAAAATGACATATGTGTAATGTTTTGCATATACTTTCAAAGAATACACAAAATGACATATGTGTAATGTTTTGCATATACTTACAAAGAATACACAAAATGACATATGTGTAATGTTTTGCATATACTTTCAAAGAATACACAAAATGACATATGTGTGATGTTTTGCATATACTTACAAAGAATACACAGAATGACATATGTGTAATGTTTTGCATATACTTACAAAGAATTCAAAAAAGACATATGTGTAATGTTTTGCATATACTTACAAAGAATATACAAAATGACATAATTATGTGTAATGTTTTTTATAATGACATATGTGTAATGTTTTGCATTATTACTTCAGTTGCCACAGAATACAGATGTGAGCTCGTATTTCCCATCAACTACACACGATGATCTACTCAATGACTGGAGTGACAGCTCAGATAGTGGTGTCAGTGGTATGTACATTCTTATATCAGTCACAATTCCACCCCTTCAGTGCAGTAAGGGCTTTACTCCTATCAAATTCTAATAGGAGTAAACTTATTACTGCATCAAATGCAGGACAGGTTGTTTACAAATTTAAATGTAAAGTCCATGCTAATGACTATTAGGGAATACTAGAATTTGTCTCATGTTTGATGCAAAGGATGGTAACTTGTATGCTTTGATTTAAGTTGGGTTTAAAGGGTTTGTAGAAGTTATAAAGTCCATTTTTGCAGTTTTGTACACCTTTTACTCAAAGAATTTCCTTCTACTCTAAGAATTTCCTATAAAAAGAATAGTTCCGAAGAACCACTTGCTAATTGTATTTCAAAGAAAAGAGAAACAAACTGTCTATTAGCTAGCTGGACAGTTCTCTTGTGTGACATAATTAGTCCTTCTTGACAGCAGCAAATCATAGACACTCTGACAACTAAAATTATTCTTATTTCCCTTCTTTATTCTGTTTATATAACGAGAAAGGTCTTGCTGTGGCCATGTCTTAAAGCAACACAAAATTCTACAACTGGTGTTTAGTTACAAAATATTATAGAATACAATTTACTCTAGAGTGTCCAGTAAGTGTTAGTTTGGAGATAAAAATATTATAAAGCAACAGTTAACTACCGGTATTGTAAGTAAAAATATACATGTTACTTGAAGTCATGAAGCAGTAAATGAAGTTCAGTGGTTTAAAATTGGCAATACATGTGAATAATGACCTTATAAAATGATTTGAAATAGATGAGGCAAAACTGTTTTGCACCATTGCTTCCATTTATCTGTTTAATAATTAAATATGGGTTCTATTTCATTCATAACAATATGTTAGCTTAAATATTTATTAAACTTTATTTAATGAAAATTGAATGATATATAAGTAGACTTAGCATACTATAAGAATGTGGAACATGTTTCTATGATTTGTATTATATTTGTACTTTATTGCAATACTTGTTTTCAGTGCATTTAATTATTATGCCCCCATTTCGAAGAAAAGGGGGTATATTGTTTTGCACTTGTTGGTCCGTCGGTCCGTCGGTCTGTCGGTCCGTCGGTCCGTAGACCAAATGGTTTCCGAGTGATAACTAAAGAACCCTTAGGCCTAGGAACTTCAAACTTGGTATGGTGATTGGTCATGACCAGTAGATGACCCCTATTGATTTTGGGGTCAAGGGGTCAAAGGTCAAGGTCACATTGACCTTGTAAGCAAAAACGGTTTCCGATCAATAACTAAAGAACCTTTAGGCCTAGGAACTTCAAACTTGGTATGGTGATTGGTCATGACCAGTAGATGACCCCTATTGATTTTGGGGTCAAGGGGTCAAAGGTCAAGGTCACATTGACCTTGTAAGCAAAAACGGTTTCCGATCAATAACTAAAGAACCTTTAGGCCTAGGAACTTCAAACTTGGTATGGTGATTGGTAATGATCAGTAGATGACCCCTATTGATTTGGGGTCAAAGGTCAAGGTCACATTGACCTTGTAAGCAAAAACGGTTTCCGATCAATAACTAGAAAACTTTAAGGCCTAGGAACTTCAAACTTGGTATGGTGATTGGTTATGATCAGTAGATGACCCCTATTGATTTTGGGGTCAAGGGGTCAAAGGTCAAGGTCACATTGACTTTTTGGGTAAAAACGGTTTCTGGTCAATTACAAAAGAACCCTTAGGCCTAGGAACTTCAAACTTGGTATGGTGATTGGTCATGATCAGTAGATGACCCCTATTGATTTTGGGGTCAAAGGTCAAGGTCACATTGACCTCTTAGGTAAAAATGGTTTCTGATCAATAACAAAAGAACCCTTAGGCCTAGGAACTTCAAACTTGGTATGGTGATTGGTCATGACCAGCAGATGACCTATTGATTTTGGGGTCAAGGGGTCAAAGGTCAAGGTCACATTGACCTTGTAGGTAAAAACGGTTTCCGATCAATTAACTAAAAACGCTTAGGCCTAGGAACTTCAAAATTTGTATGATGATTGGTCGTGACCAGCAGATGACCCCTATTGAGTTTTGGGTCAAGGGGTCAAAGGTCAAGGTCACATTGACCTTGTAAGTAAAAACGGTTTCTGATCAATAACTTAAGAACGCTTAGGCCTAGGAACTTCAAACTTGGTATGGTGATTGGTCATGACCAGCAGATTACCCCTATTGAGTTTTGGGATCAAGGGGTCAAAGGTCAAGGTCACATTGACATTGTAAGTAAAAACGGTTTCTGATCAATAACTAAAGAACGCTTCGGCCTAGGAACTTCAAACTTGGTAGGGTGATTGGTCATGACCAGCAGATGACCTATTGATTTTGGGGTCAAGGGGTCAAAGGTCAAGGTCACATTGACCTTGTAGGTAAAAACGGTTTCCAATCAATTAACTAAAAACGCTTAGGCCTAGGAACTTCAAACTTTGTATGATGATTGGTCATGACCAGCAGATGACCCCTATTGAGTTTTGGGTCAAGGGGTCAAAGGTTAAGGTCATGACCAGTAGATACTTGATAACCCTTATTAATTGTTTGATCACTGGGTCAGATGTCATGCATAATAACCTTATCACATGACTTATTGGCTGCTGATAGGGGGCATACATGTTTTACAAACATATCTTGTTAAATATGGTTTTTCAATATTACATATTTGTGACTTGTCTGATATTACACATTTGTCTGATATTACACATTTGTCTGATATTACACATTTGTCTGATATTGCACATTTGTCTGATATTACACATTTGTCTAATATTACACATTTGTCTGATATTACACATTTGTCTGATATTACACATTTGTCTAATATTACACATTTGTCTAATATTACACATTTGTCTGATATTACACATTTGTCTGATATTACACATTTGTCTGAAATTACATCTTTGTAATATCTGATATTACGCATTTGTTAAAAGACATTTGTTTGATATTACACATTCGCCTAATAATTACACATATTTTTCTGATAATACACATTTGGCTGATAACTGCAAGTTTGTCTGTAATATCTGATATTATGTGTTTGATGTAAGACATTTGAGCCGCGTTATGACAAAACACAAGCGAACAGCATGGATCCTGATCAGACTGCGCAGATGCGCAGACTGGTCTGGATCCATGCTGGTCGCAAACCCACTATGTTGGTTTTGTCATGACGTGGCTCATTTGTTTGATGTTATACATTCAATGTAACACATTTGTTTGATATTTACACATTTGTATATTTTTGGATAGGTTTGTTAAACAGCCAGTCAACAGATGAAATTATCAAGAAAGAACCATTATCACCGTCACTATCCCATCATTCTGACAGCTGTGACAGCGGCATATCACAGGTAAAATGAGTCACGTCACAACAAAACCAACATAATGGGTTTGGGACCAGCATGGATCCAGACTAATCTGCACAGTCTGATCAGGATCCATGCTGTTGGCTTACCAACCCTATTACAAGTAGAGAAACTGTTAGCGAACAGCATGAATCCTGATCAGACTGCATGGATGCGCAGGCTGGTCTGAATCCATGCTGGTGGCAAACACATTAAGTTGGTTTTGTCATGACGTGGCTCAAATATAACATAATAGTATGTACAGGCAGATATATAAACAGATGGTTCGCAATCATGAGAGATCTTGACGTAAAATCATTATAAAATTAATGCATACAATCAATTTATGCTTGTAGAAAGTGGATTAAATACATACTGAATTTGAAAATGCAACCATATTAATTTTATACTCTGTTATAAACCGCTGAATAAGAAATGTGTCTACAACTAGTTTATAATCTGAACAGTGTGGAGTCTCCTAATCAAATGAATTTTTTTATGCCCCCACAAAGTGGGAGAGCATATAGCGTTGCACTTGTCCGTCCGTCCGTCAGTCCGTCCGTCTGTACGTCCCGAAATCTTGTGAACGCAACTCCTCTTAAACTGGATGGCAGATTTCGCTTAACTTTCAGGGATGAACAACCTTAATGTGTAGATGGTAGTAAAGGAAGGAATTTTCGCTGTGACCAAATTTAACAGAATTATGGCCCTTTGTTGATTTTTTCACTATATACTATGAAAAAGTTTTGTGAACGCAACTCCTTTTAAACCGGATGGCAGATTTTGCTTAAACTTCCAGGGATGAACAACCTTAATGTGTAGATGGTAGTAAAGGAAGGAATTTTTGCTGCGACCAAATTTAAGAGAATTATGGCCCTTTGTTGATTTTTTCACTATATACTATGTAAAAATTTTGTGAACGCAACTCCTCTTAAACTGGATGGCAGATTTTGCTTAAACTTCCAGGGATGAACAATCTTAATGTGTAGATGGCAGTAAAGGAAGAAATTTTTGCTGCGACCAAATTTACCAGAATTATGGCCCTTTTTTGATTTTTTCACTATATACCATATAGAAATTTTGTGAACGCAACCTTTAAACCGGATGGCAGATTTTAATAAAAAGTTCCACATAAAAATCTTACATACAGATATGCATGCTCTTGTTTACGAGCACATCTGCACAGTGGGGGCATCCGTGTCCTTTGGACACAGTTCTAGTTTAAAAATACATCGGCCATTATGTCAAACAGCTTTCTTATGTGTAAGAAAAAATCCTAAAAATAGCACACTAAAAGAAATGAGAATGAGACGAGACGAGATTCACTAGATATTTCCGTCCACAGCCTCTATTTGAAAATAAAGAAAACATTTCATTAATAATGTCACGTTGATTTAGTTTATTTTAGAGACAAATTTCTTGTATTTGTTACCTCGAAAAAGAGGAGTGAATACCTGAAACAAGTAGGTTTTAAATAAGATTTTAAACTTGTTCCGGCATTGTCATGTGTTCCTCTCGTATTATTTGCTGTTGTTATTTCATTATTTAATGAGCAAGATTATTTCAAGATTTTATACATTTTTTGTTTTCTGAAGTTATACATTTGGTGGTGTAGATTTTGTAATATTATAAATGAATGACAGACATATTTGATGGTTTGTTTTGTCCAGGTTGTAGACGCATGCCCCATCAACTATACATTAGATTCACCGCCAGACACCCCGATCAACTACTCGTCACCTGTATCACCCGTAGATCTTACATTGTTACCAGTGAAATACGAAAATATATCATCACCGTCATCACATTACATCACAACTTCAAACAGGTAAGGCATAGATAAATTTAGTATAAACACATCTGATTCTTTAATAGATAAAGTAGTTAATCTAATTTGTAATATTTTTCATATACAAAAAAGTTAAAAAGTGAAATGTTGTTTGACTTGAAGACGTCTAAACAGATTTGACTATAGCCATAATTCAATAGCCATAATCCTTAAATTTGTATAATTGACTTGAATTACTTCAAATTAAGAACTTTTCATAGTTATTTGAATGTGTTTGAATGACAAAAATGTGTAAATGAGCTAATGGCAAAAAAACCCCCAAAAAACAACGAAGCATGGCCAAGTATTGGCTTACTCGATTGACATAGAAAAGTCAATTTTGCTGCTATTATTCAAAGAGTAAATCACTGTCTCTCTTTGCTTGTATGGAGATAGATATGTTCTGTCGCAGAATGAAGGTTTAATGTAATAAATTTATTATTAATTTTTGTGCATTCAGCTGTCTTAGTGCCACATCATGAGTCTTTTAAAGATCAAATGAATATTGAATTTTCCTGGTAGGGGTGGGTATTACAAAGAAAAATCATATAGCAATTTTATTGTGATATTTTCATACATGTTTCATTGTATTGCGATATGTATAAAATGCTTAGAAATCAAGGGTTATCTGAAAACATATTGCAATACAATATTGCCAGGTAAAATATTGCGATATCCAATATATTGCGGTACATTTGTGTATATATTGCACAACTTTATTTCCTGGAACCAAGTTGAAGCTACAACACTTTCCAAGTTATGGGGGTAATTGTCAGATGCAAGGAGTGACAGAGTTGCCTGAATTTTTACACTTTATTTATTGAATTATTTTTTTGTCTTTTTTTCCAGTATAATCGTGCCTCCTGAAGGGTCTGGTGTAAATATAGATACAATATTAAACTCGAAAATTCCAATCCAGCCGAAACCAGAAAACGGGGAACAAGGAAGCCCTAGAAAAGTTACATCGCCACCTCTACCTCAAGGTTAGTACAAAAAATAGCCACACATACTAGGGGTGAACATGTAGCCAATAACGTTCCATCTGTTAAAGTTTTTATATTTTATATAGTAGTTTATAATTATGGAATTTGTATTCAGTTGCAAATGTTTGTGATGTTAAGAGTTTCAAAGCATATCACATATGACAGCTTTTATATAACCCCAAACCTGCTAAATATATGTGATGGATTTGCTAAGCTTTGAATTTGAGTCTGTAAAAATATGAAAAAAATATAAAAAATGTTAATGCAGAATTTTTGAGTAAATTACAATTTACTTCTTACTAATCCTATGGTCAAAGATACCATATTAGATGAAGAATAGAAATTCATTTGGCTGACTATCAAGGTCTTGCTTATCCTTCTGCCAAACAAAATAAACATTTTGTTTAGAATAATGGATTTTTGGACACTTTGGATAATATGCCACTAAATAAATCAATAAACAAAATTTACTTTAATTTTTGTATAGTTGTAAATTCTCTCTTCTCTTGAATAAATAAATAGCCTTATTAGTTGAATTATTGATTAAGAGGGAACAAGAAATTAAATATAAAAAAGAAGAGAGTCATAGAAAATTTTAACTCAACCTTGCTGTCGGAGTTAGTTCTAATAGATGTTTTGTAATAATCTGTATTTAGATGTTTTTAGATTTTCCATATTTTAATTCGCTCTTTTTTTTTTTTTTACATTTTCAAAGTTTGAATGGGCTACTTCAATTGGGTATTAATCAAATGACTAAGACTTTGCTATAATGATTTATGTTCTACAATATTTGTATTTTTTAAACAGGATCTCAACAGAAGTCTCTAGTTCTCACAGCAGAGGAGTTCCAACGTCTCACAAGCCAGGGCGTGCTTAGATTCCAGCCTCCAAAACAGGAGAGTATTTTAAAACCGCAGGTGTTGCCGACGACAACAGTAGCCAAGGTCTCGGTACCACAGAGTCTTCCTATCTGCTCTACAAACAACTATGTGTGTGAGGAGAAAGGAGTAAGTTTATTTTTGTAATCAATTACATACTTAGGGTAATTTAAATTTGATCAGTTACACATTAAAATAGTGATTGCAGTAGTAATTGCAATTTTTCACTATGTAATTGAATGTATGGGTACAAGTTTTCAGGCATTTGTCTGGGGTTTATTTTACTCCTGAAATAACTCTTCTTCTATATAAAACCAGTTAAAATGTTATTATAGGGCTTTGGAATTTTTCTGACATTTTGCACCTTGGTAATGTAATGGATTACTTTAAAAAGTAATCAGCCTCATGAATGATATTCAAAGTCGGGATATTAAATACATTTGAACTTATTTTTGGAATGATACTCGTACAGGTCTTAATGCCCGAAAATAGAAATAAATAGAAGTTCTCAAGAAATGGCACCTTAAATATTAACTTGTTGATCTTAATTCATTGTACATGACAAATGATTATGGTATGACTGTGTTTCATGAAAGTTTCTTAAATTACAGAATAAAGCTTTAAAAAGACAGCAGCGTATGATCAAGAACAGAGAATCTGCAAGTCTGTCTCGGAAAAGAAAAAAGGAGGTGAGAAATATATTTTGTAATGGTTCTTGTTGGAGAGATGCCCTTTTCTTCTCTTTTGGTGTACCATTATTTTGATACATAATAGAAATTAGAGTGACTGATTTTAGTTGTATGGGTTGTCTACCTTTACAAATCAATCAATCTATACAGCAAAGATTATGTTTTGTTTAATCTACTGTGCTTATGTATGTATGTATGTGTGGTCACCATAACTCACAAATATAAAAACAAATTTTAAGTGAGCTAGGTATAAATTTTAGAAAGCATGCATACTAAAGAAGGTTCATGAATAGCTTTCTTTTCCTTTAGAAAATAGATTTCATGTATTTGAATGACTGAGCTAGTCACATTATATTCTTTAAGATTTGTAAATTTTAAATGTTATTTTTTTTTTATTCAGTATATGTCATCATTAGAGAAGAGATTGAAGGAGTTTTCTGATGATAACGAACGATTACGAAGTGAGAACTCTTCATTGAAAAGAAAACTTACAGAGCTTCACTCAGAGGTATGTGTAATTTATATTGGAGTGACTTTAGACATTTGCTACCCAAATCTTTTACTACCTAAGTAATTTGCTACCTAAGTCATTTACTACCCTAGCTATTTACCACTTAATTCATTTATTGCCTTAGAAAAATTGCCACTGCCTAAGTAGTTTTCCATCTTGATTCATATACTATCTTAGCAATTTGCCACCTGAATCATATATCATCATAGAAGTTTGCTACCTGAATCATATAGTAACCTGGCGAGCCACCTCACCTGAATCATATACTATCTTAGTAGTGTACCACCTGAATTATATACTATCTTAGCAGTTTGCCACCAGAATCATATAGTGTCTAAATAAATTGCCACCTGAATCATATACTTTCTTAGTAATTTGCAACCAGAATCATGTACTATCTTAGTAATTTGCAACCAGAATTATATAGTATCTTAGTAATTTGCCACCTGAATCATTTATTAACATGACAACTTTCCACCTTTCTCATTTACTTCCAGGGCAATTTGCCATCTGAATGATTTACTACCTAAAAAATTAATTACTGAATCAATTCAATTTTCCTCCTGAGCAATATGTGACCAAAGCCATTAGCCAATAACAGAATAATGGCTTTTATAAATGCTGATGGCTTGATGAAAAGTACATGATTATTTTTGCTATATCAATGTGACATTTCAGCTTTATTATAGTGCAACCGCTGCAAAACAGCCCTCTCTAATGAAAAACTGTCTTTACAATGCATCATTTCTTCCCAAAGACTTTACAATAGATTTAACCTCACAAGAGTAGCTCCTCAGCAACAACAAATTTCTTTGTCTCCCAAAGGGTGTGGTTGTTTTGTAGAGGGTACATTGTAAGTACAATGTATGTTTAATTTTAGGAAAACATTTCTTATTTGATAATGATTATTTATTGACTGAATCATGTTTTTTTGACTACTACAAATTTAAATCTAAGAAGGAAAGCTGATTTCTATTTTGAATATTAAAGTCTTAAAGGCTAAAGACTTCATGGGTTTTGTTTGTTACTTTCAGAACGAGACTTTGAAGAAGACATTTACAGTGGCCCCCTCGGTGAAGAAAACAATAGTTCTTGGCTTGTTTGTAATGCTGAGTCTGAACCTGGGATCATGGAGGTATGTAGATTTCAAGCTTGAAAGGAGGTATATTCTATTTTTCTGACAAACAAATTAAAAACCAGCAATAAATCATTGTTTACTATTTATTTTCTGCAATTTAATGAAAATTTGAAGTTTTTGTTAAGGTTTAAGTAAGATAGATGATACAAACCGTATCTCACTGTATCAAAGGAATAAAAATTCTCTATTTTCATTGTAATGGTTATATTACATTTAGGCATCATGTGATTATTGCTCTATCACAGATAATAAATTTGATTTATATTTATTACACCCTCACAAATATAAAAACACCAGTTTAAAAATCAGTTACAGAAGCAAAAAAAAATTTATCAGGTGTGTAAATTTTTTTTGACCCCTTTCTTCTTTTCTTCAGTAATTTTATGTTGATGGAGCGTAAAGTGGATCTCACAAGTAAACTTAGTCCACAAGTGGTCCATAAAGGGAGGCAACTGATGTCTGTACCTGAGGAAGGAGATAGGTCATGGTCGTTGAATTCAGACACGGTCAATAAGTTGAATGACCTGATTTTAGAATACAGAGGTACATCTGGCGATAAGTTCAATTTAACCGATGTCCCACCAATGTGCCCGACATATTTTAATAGGACCGAGTCCATGAGGTAAGTACATATTCAAACTTTTATCTACAGCTTTTCTGTGGGTAAAACTAATTAATGTTATATTTTTCTGGTCTTTAGGGAATATTGATTCCAGCACTTTTTAAGTGTTGAAAATTGTGTTCCCCTCAAGCCCGTGCAAGGGATGAGGGACGTTGCACTTATTAATTATCCCTAATATACAGACCCGATCAAACCGAGTATACAATTTTCATGTAATTTTGTTGTGAACTTTGCTTCCGGGATATCCCCCTTCTTCCAGATTTTTATGTGATATTTCATGTAAAATTTGTAATTTTGAAATGTTGTAAAATTTCTAACATTCATTGAATGTACAAAGCATTTGTACCTGAAATAATGCATGGAGGGTAACCTGAGGTCTTCTTTCACCAGTAAAGCTTGAAAGTCACCATATGACCATTACAGTGTCAGTGTAACTAAACCAAAGTGAAAAAAAAAACCAATGAATAAATGAAAAAAAAAATCATTTCAACAGATTAGCAGAGCAGTTGGCTGGCTGGATGTACAGGCATGAAGAAGAGAAGAAAAAAGTGGTGAAGAAACATAACAAAAGACAGAAAGATAAACAAATACGACCTATCTCTACATTAAGTAGAGCTATGAGAGGTGATGTTCATATTATGGATAGAAAATATCAAAGGTAAGCCATTCATTCTTTTTGGTCTATATGTTTATGCCAGATACTGTTCTTTGATTCTACTCATGTTCATGCTTAAAATAATGCATACATAATGCAACAATCCTTCATTGAATAAAAAGAACATAATGACCTCCAAGTTAAGACCATTTGTCCATAAAGGACATGTTTGGTCTCTCCCTTGTATGACTTTTATTCACAGGTTTAACTATACTTATTTAAAAACGGATGTTAAGATGTGAATTTTGCCATTTTCAGGATGGATTCAAGGTACCAGTTACAACTGTATGAGGGGGCAGACACAGGCAGGGAGTTCCTGAAAGCTTTACATCGAAGAAATGATACATTCTATGTCCTGTCTTTTGATGAGGTAAAAAGATGTTTTTTCCATGTAACCCTAAATTTGTTGGAACCAAAAGTGATTTTATAGAGAAATTTTATAGCTAAACCCATCCAGCACTTTACAATCTGACAGGGTTCCTTTTTAGTCCCCTACCGGTTTACCGGAGGGGACTTTAGGTTTACCCTCCATCCGTCTGTCAGTCCGTCCGTCCACAAAACTGGATCCCGCGATAACGCAAAAAGTACTGAAAATATTTTAATGAAACTAGATATATGGATAGATGGCAGTATGGAGATTATGCACGTCTTTTTCTTTCCTTCCTATGTTGAAAATTCTGGTTGCTATGGCAACAAATAGACTGAAAATATGGCAAATTTTACACATAACCTGGATCCAGTGATAACGCAAAAAGTACTGAAAATATTTTTATGAAACTTGACATATGTTTAGATGGCAGTATGGAAATTATGCACATCCTTTTCTTATCTTCCTATGTTGAAAATTCTGGTTGCTATAGCAACAAATAGACTGAATTTCAAGATTTCTGATTCTAGTTTTTAAGTTTTTTCACTATAAGTACTTTATTTCTCAAACTTTAAATAAAAGTTGCTTGTCATCAACCACATCATATGTGACAAAGTTTACAACTCTAGCACAAAATTTATCAGAATTACCTCCCTTGAACATAAAATTTTCATGAAAAAAACATTGTTTTTTTTAATAACTTCTTTTTCTGAATGTATCTACTTCAAACTTCATATAAATGTTTCTTATTATCACTCAACATTTGTGAATATTCAATACTCTAGCAAGATTATATCCAGAATTATGCCCCTTTTGAACTTAGACTTTTTTTTTGAGAAATTGGTAATTTTTACTCCAACTTCTTTAATCATGATAGGATTTTAAAGATGTTATATTTTGATAACGGATGTTTAAAAAATAACTTTAGAGTGTCCTTCAGTCCGTCTGTCTGTCTGTACATAAAAACTGTTTCCTGTGATCACTTTTAGAGAACTTTTTCAACAAATTTATTTAAATAGGAACATAAGTGAATGGCCAATGGCCCTTCAGAATGTGGCTTTGGCTCTTACCGGTAGGGGACTTATGGATTGCTTGCAATACTATGATAATTGCTTGTTTTGTATGAAGCTCAATTTTGTACTTTAAAATTTATTAAGTAAACCTGTGTGTTTTAAGATTACACAGATATTAAGTTAACCTGTTTGTTGTATGATTACAGGATTATTATCTAGTACCAGCTGTACAGCATAACAAGACGTCACGTCCCAGAATGTCACTGGTTATGCCAGCAGTAGCTCTAAATGGTAAGTTTAAGATCTGTTTACCCGGCCATCTTTACTTTAAATAAATTTGTGTTGAAATACACTAGGGGTCATGAGAGATGCTTCATTTTTCCATTCACCATCATGAATAGACTCCATAAAACAAAGTTTGCTATTTTTCATGTTACAGTCTAATTTGCCCATGCTACCATGTGTATTAAACGACTTTTGTCTGATGTAAATTCCCCACGATCATTTTCTCTCTATATATTTAATATTTGATGACTTGATTAACGTGACTGACGACTGCTAATTAGTCAGCTTATTGAAATCAATCTTTTCATCAAGTGACCACTTTTATCTGTCAATTGTTTGTATTTTTAGAGAACGCTGCCTGGTGATGTCATCACAAGTGTCAACAATACAAAACACAATATATTAATGTGTGAAATTATCTATTTCTAAAAGTGTTTTAAGCGAAACAGACTTTGTTATTAATAAATTATTTATTTCTTTCTCTCTGACAGAGTCTATGATGCCAGGAGAGGGTCAGGTCGGAATGATGCAGATTGACTGCGAGGTGATGAACACCCAACTTATACATGTACAGAAAACTGCGATACCACGAGATGTGCGGGAAAAACATAACAACACACGGTCGTGGTATAAAGAAGACTTCCATCCTTAGAGGGGAAGTATTGTACATGCTTGAAGTTTTAGTTGTTCAAAGCAACTTCAGTGGTTTGTGCTTTAAAAGGGACATATGTCATCAAATGACAATGTGTGAAGTGAATTTTATTTCATAATATATGGAAACTGTATAAACTGGGTCGTTTATTAGTGCTAGGTGAGGTGGTCCAAAGTAAAGAAAAAGTTTGGTTTGGCGTTACTTTCCAGGGAAAAGTACAGAAATTTAGTGCTGTTATATTATGCTGCCACAAAAAAGGGAGATAATTTACACTTGGATTTAGTTATATGTATAATTAAGTTTAGAGTTATCTTTATTGAATTATACATGTATATATATATATGTATATAGATAAAAGAAAAGTTAGTGGGTTACCTGTATTTGTTATATATAGATAAATGAAAAGAGGGTTTTTTATTCAGCATTAGTTTGCTTGTGTGCTCAAAGTGGACTTTACTGTAAGGGAGTCAATTGAGGTGTATGGGGTAGTTGAGTAAGTGATTGGAATTATAATTATTATTCAAATTTTTTTGTAGAGAGCATTTTTGCTGTTGTGACATTTTTTTACTCTTCCATTTTAAATGGTACTTATATTTATTTCATTTTTTTCTTCTGTTTTGAGTTAAAAGAAAAATTTATAATGCCTTTGACTTGGGGACCTATTTACATTTTTCCTCTTACAATTTTGAAAATTGTGTTATATTTAATTGCTTTGTATTTGAGGTTATAAAACTTCTTTTCTCAGATCTGTCTTGGATCTCTGGATTTTCATTGGTCAGTGCACATTTTGTGCAAGTTTCTGACCAATCAAAATACCTGTACCTGAAAGTGGGAGTTTGAACTTGAAAAATGTCTTTATAACCTTTGACACTTGATTAAGGGACCCATTTATCATTCTTTTTCTTCTCAGTTTATTAATTTATAGCTTTTGTCTTTGAAAAAGCTTTGTTTTTTGTATGGTCTAGAAAATCCAATCTTTCTTTAAGAAGTGAAATCTTTTTAATCAACTTACTTTTAATTGACATGAGATTGACACAATTTTGATATGTGACTTATTTTTTTTTAAAGCTTACTAGATTCTTTATGTTGTAAGCAAGGAAAGTTTATTGTGTAAATCTTGAAACTTACCATAATCAGATTTTTCATTTGTGCAATTATTATGTGTATGTGTACATATTTATTTATTCTGTTGAAATGAATTTTTGATGTTTATAGTGCCAATGAAGAAGCTTTATCTATTATATTAGATAGGCAGATTTAGAATAAACAATACCTTGGATATCACAGTGTCACAAACAAAATGGCTTATTAGATTTAATTATTGTCCTCTTATTTTGGTGCTTTATTTATCAGTTTAATATGTTTACAAACAAATTGCTGCATACCACTGCTGTAAATGTTTTTATCTGCCTGTGACTGAGTGGTTAAGTATGTTGATTTTAATCCACTTGTCTCCTACCGCTGTAGGTTCGAGCTGTGCCAGCATCTTTGGATTCTTCATTTGGCTTTGAGCTGGTGTACGGAACTTCGGTGGTATCTGTTTGTGCCTGAAAAAATGTACAGAGGGGCACCCCGAAGTCTTCCTCCACCAGTTGAAAGGAATAATGACAAAATGTAAACTTATTTTTACTTTCACCAGTTCACTTACTATATATTCTTTAATGGGCATAATGGCACTAAAATTTAATGAAATTTTCTTTTTGATACCTAAGATATTTAAATCACGAGATATTAGTGATATCAAAATGTATGTACAAGATTATATCATGTTAGGTATGTCAATTAAAAAAAAATCAAACAATAAATCACTTTAAAGCACAATATTTCCACATTATTTGTTCTAACCAATTTGACATTATTGTGTTTCAACACATTTATGTAGGCAGCTGATATATTTTCAAGATATTTTTTTTTTTCACATTTAGCACATCATCATTAAAGATAGTATGGGTGTGGCATAGAAAAGTTAATGTCGTTTCTAGAACTCTTTAGACTTACAACTGTTAACCTTTACCTTGCCAGCAGCAACTGAAAATACCCTTGCCATCAGTGCAGACAAAATTCAGCCAGAACTTTGGTGCAATCCTGTCATGGTCTGTACTGTTCACTATTCAGCCAGTAATTCTTTGCTATTCAGTCAGTAGTTATTTTGAAATGGATGAACAAGTCCATATAACATATTTGGCATGGTAAGCGTCATTAAGGCATTATTAATTTTAGACACTTCTTAAAGTAGTTATTTCCATATTTATTTTCATATTGTCAAACTTGTATGAAGCAAATTCGTTCATGTTTCGTTAGATGAGAATCCAAGTAATTTAAATTTTTTGCATGTTTTCGTTGTAGTTTTTTTCTACTTTTTTATAATCATCCATTATTTGTCATTGTTTTTTTTTTTTTAAAAATATGCACGCTGTGTTTTCTATGTAGGAAATCCATTCATATGAGTAAAATTTGCGTCATCTTAAATGGGGACACATGTACTTTATGTTATTGATTTGATAAAGTTGCTTGTTTCAAGCCAAAAATATTAGTTTTTGGAGTGAATAGAAAAAATGAATATATAAAATTGCTTCACAAAATTGTGTGCTTAGGAATGTAGAAAATGTACATTCCATATTTTTTTACTCATTTTAAATTATGTTAATTTATTCCGTCTTTTTCATTTCTTTAAATTAATTTTTGTCAAGTTTTAATGAAACTGATTTGCATTGTGTATTAATATATGTTGTTCAGCAAGTGAATTTTTACTTTTATTCTTTTTTAATTATACGAGGGAAAATATTGGTTGTATTTACGTTACTATGGCAGATTTATGAAGAAAACATTGCAAAATAAATTTATGTGTCACTTATGTCATAAAACTTTCAATAATCTTGAGGAGAACTAAAATCAAAATAAAATTTTGTGTTAAAGGAAAATGATTGTATTTTTTTTCTGCTCTTCATAATTGGAGGAAATAAAAGAATCTATCTATCTATTTAAAGACAAGGGACATACTTTGATATATACCCTATTTAAAAACAAAATGAAATTTTGAGAAAAAAAAGTGATTTTATTAGAAAGGATACAAAAACATTTTAAGATCAGTATATGGAATACAGCTTTAATTATTATTTTATTTACTTCATAGATTTGATATTGTTAGTTTCTTACGTTTTGAATTACTTTATGTTGAGGGGTTTTACATTTTGCATTGTACACAATCGTGAACAGATAATCTTTAAACTGTGCAGTTTGTTTATGCAGGGAGTTACAAAAGTTTACTGTTCTTTTAGACATTATGTATATATGAGATTTTGAAAACACACTATATAGTCAGTTATATAATAATATATAATATATTTATATTTAGATATTTAAAAATTGTTACTAGTAGTTGAAAGTAGTCTATTTCTTTATACTATGTGTTTGTTACTCTTTTTTTAGCTCGACTATTTGATAAGAATAAGTAGAGCTATTGTAGTCACCCGAGCGTCGGCGTTGGTGTCCGCGTCGGCGTAACCACTTGTGTTAAAGTTTTTGTAATAGTTCAAATATTTTCAAAGTCCATTGACATATGGCTTTGAAACTTGGCACACTTGTTCACCATCATGACCCCAACCTGTAGACAGGAGGAGGTAACTGTATCAAGCATTTTGACAGAAATATGCCCCTTTTTCGACTTAGAATTTACGTTAAAGTTTTTGTAATAGTTCAAATATTTTCAAAGTCCATTGACATATGGCTTTGAAACTTTGCACACTTGTTCACCATCATGACCCCAACCTGTAGACAGGAGGAGGTAACTGTATCAAGCATTTTGACAGATTATGCCCCTTTTTCGACTTATAATTTACGTTAAAGTTTTTGTAATAGTTCAAATATTTTTCAAAGTCCATTGACATATGGCTTTGAAACTTTGCACACTTGTTCACCATCATTACCCCAACCTGTAAACAGGAGGAGGTAATTGTATCAAGCATTTTTTCTTACTATCAAGCACTAAGAATAGTCGAGCGTTGCTGTCCTACCGACAGCTCTTGTTATTGTACAAGATATTTTAAGATATTTTGAAACAAGTTTTTTTTCCTCCATTAAATTTCAACGAGAGTCAATTATCACAGGCAAAATTTATTTCTATTATTTTATGGCTATGCCAGTTGATTTAGATATTCAATGTGCAGTTTTATCGGAAAGGTTTAGAAAAAATATATATACAGTATGTAATCAATGGCAGGGAAACAGTCTTTGACTGATAAAAAATAGTTTATTTCACTTCATTAGGTACTTCTTGTGTGTTCTCGTTTTTATTTACATGTTTTTTATCGTATACAGATTTTCGTTATTTTATGCAAATAAGATAAAGGTGGTTATAAGTGAACTACCATTTATATCTCTCATCAATTAAAACATTTATATCTCTCATTGGTTAAAAAGATATAGTAATTAATCAAATAATGTACAAATATTTTAAAATATTTTTTTGTTTCACAAATATATTTGACTGTAATGTTTACAAGAAAATCACGGAAGTTACTCTTCATTCATTCATCAGTGAAATATTATTCATATCTCACTCTAAACAAACAAAAATATCACCCATTTTCGTATGAAAAATGAAATATAAACAATACTTATCTAGGCAATATGTAGCATATTTTCCTGGGCATGAAAAAAATGGGCATAATAATTAATATGTACATGAGATAAAGGGAACTTATTTAATGTAATTGTATTCATTCACTCGTTAGTGTAATTAAGCTGGCTAAGGTCCCTTTCTAAAAGTTTAAATAGGAGTTTAACCCAGTTATTGTTACTTTAAGATTGATGATATATGTTTGGGATAAATTATATAAGCATTTGTACTAGTCACAATGATTTAAAGTTTGAAAAACTGCTGTAAATTTTATTATTATTACATATATTAAACCTATAATTTACATTCTGTGTACTAAATCACATTATAATACTATATGTCAAGACTCACATCTATGAGAAAGTAAGAGACTGGATTGTTATGTCCACATTTTAGGTGGTGGGATATATAGATTATCATTTGTCTGTCATTTGTTCATCTGTATCTTTGTCTGTCTGTCTGTCTGTAGACTGACAACAACAGTAGAATTTCTTGTAGTCTGTAATTAAACAATGGTGCAAATTAAAGAGTCATTACCCTTGATTCTATAAATAGATATCACACGATGTACTGCTGGACAACATCAATATATAATGGAATATTATCGGATGAACTTTCATTTTTTTTTTTTTGGGGGGGGGGGGTATAAAACAAAAAAAGTTTTAATATATCTCAGTTTTTAGTCTCAAGGTTAATTTTGGATCTGAACATAACCAAATCACCGTTCACCGTTCATACATGGTGTAGTCTATATTTGACATTTTGTAATTTAGAATTTTTTCTTCACAAAACATCATTTAAGTAGCTTTCATTTCTATCACTTCCATCACAATGTTTTTTTCCAGACTTGACAAAGTATATCACTTAAGTAATTAATTTTATTAAGGAAAAATTCTTAAGTTTTGAATATGGCCTGAAAAAAGTAATATCCATATATCTTTTCATCGCAATAGTGTTGGTTATAACTTTTTCTTAACTTAAGGGTTTTTAAAAAAGTTTAAAGGAATCCCTGAGGTTCTAAAGCCAAAAAACTTTAACTTTTTAATTTCAAAAAATTTCCCTGGGTATTTGAACAATTTAAATATTTTTTCTAAAAAGCGAATGATTGAATTTCCCAAAAAATTTTGGGGTTTCCCTTAAATTAAATGGTTTTCTGAAAAAATTTATTTCCAGTCCTGTCATGCCAAAAAACTTCAGTGAATATGAAATTTGTTTGTGATTTCATTATTGATGTTAATCAATAAATTTATCCTTGCTCTTTAAAATACCAGATGTAAAAAAGGTATGGTAGGGGTTTTATTTCCATCCATTTTAATTCATTCATTAAGTTGTGAATTATTGGTATATCTAAGTAATCATTTTTACTGTCTTTATTTTGTCCTCATTAATATTTGAATATGTCATGGGTTGACATTTTATTATGTGACTTATTCAATAAAGCATTGCAATGTAATTGCTCATTTATACTAACAGAAGTGCCTTACTATCATATCTGAAAAATTTTCTACACTGTAAATTTGATAAACCATTATTAACCATGATTATATGCATTCCCTTATCAATGCAAATGTTCATTTCTTTAGGGGGTAATATGCTGCTGCGATGAAAGTTGAACTCACACCAGAAAAAAACTTATTATGGAAAACACCATGTATATACTTACTACATACATTATTGTAAGCTCAGCATTCCAGTGACTTATCATGTTGTACCTTTAAAAATCAATTTAAGGGATTAGTTTCTAAAACTTAATCAATAAGCTGATTAATTTTTTAACTTAATCAAATAAGGCAATAAGTTTTTGAACATAATCAATTAAAGCAATTAGTTATTAAACTTAATCAATTAACATAATAAGTTTTTGAACTTAATCAAATAAGAATATTAGTTTTTGAACTTACTGTTATATAATGATTGAATTTGAAATCCAACTACCTGTAATATGTACTATATATAGAAATGACAGTATACCATCACAAACACACAGATACACATATAAGGAGCAAAAGATATGGCTGAATTAGCCTGAAGAAAGTAGGTGGTTCTACAACAGTTGTGTGTGACACGTCAGCTTGTTCCTGTAGGAGACAAGTCCAGTATATGAATGTAAAACTACAGGCCAGCCTCCGTCACTGAAGCTGTAAAGTTACTGTATAACCTTGACAGATAAAGTAGTTTAAATGAATGAAAACTATAAAAAAAATAATTGATTTGTTTCTCCTTTGACAAGTTTAGTAATTTCTGGAAAAAATTATAGTGCAAGGTGCTTTACTTATTGTTTTATGCAAAATATTTTACAAAAGTGTCATCAAACGTAGAAATTATTGAGAATTTATCTCTATCTATAATTATTAATGTATAAGCATTACCATAATGAGCATATTAACCTTTCCATTTAAAAATGATATTTTTTTGTTAAAATCAAATTTTTCTTTATCAGGTACAGTCATATTAAATTTGGTCCAGTGATGTTTAATATGGAAAAAATCATTGAAACTTACGCACCTGATCAGGATATTTGAGAATGTTTTCATCATAGAACTTTTTGTACATGTGTATATATAAATAGAATTTATATATAGGTTCTAAAGATGTTGTTATGTTATGTTCTATTCATGTAAAATATTGTGGGAACCAAGTTTTATGTTTTTGTCTAGATAAAATATGTGAAAATAAAACTACTGTGCAATGTATTCCAGCTTTTGTTACGTTTTTTCCTTCTAAATTTTAGGTGCTATCGTGTGGAAATAATATTCCTGAAAGAGTTTTCCAGAATCTATACTGTGTAATCCTTGATATATACAGTTGGTATACTTGAATTGAAAAGGATTGATCTAAACATTGGAATGGCTTGTACACTCATTCAATATCCTCTATGTAATATGTGACATGTTATGCGCCAACTGACCAATTATTAATAATCCAATTAAGCCATGTTGAATAGTTAAAGTTTGTTAGTGTGACGTCAAATCAATATCATCCTTTATAACATGCTTTTCGGTGTTTTATAGAAATATATCAGTGATATAAAACTGGTAATTTCACTGTTTGAAACAGTGAAATTACCACTTTGATAATTTCAATGTTTTGAATTTAAGCCCCTTACGTTGTTTCAGTGAAATACCAGCGTGCACAGTACTGGGTACCAACTTAATGACGTGACGTCAATGGTTGTCACGTTGTACATGTATTATTATTTTGCGCGCTTTTCATTCAGTATTAGATTTAATGTCTTTTTAAGACGTTTATTTGCATATAATAAAAAGAAAATTTGTTTAGTTTAGTGTAACATCGAAATATATTTCACCTTGTGAACACCAAAAGTTCATATACCTTTTGATGCTCACTCCGTGAAATATATTCTGATCTTACACTGAACTAAACAAATATCCTCTATTTATAAATTCAAACATTTTGTTATGTGACTTAACCATAAAGGAAGATACAAAAAATAATAATAATATTACATTATTTTGTTTTATTTAAATTCCTTCCCATTATAGAAATAAATAAAAATAATATCAATTTTGACAAGATGTTAAGTGCATGGAAAAAGACTTCCATCCCCGAGTGAATTGAATCTGAAAATAAATAAAATGCCCTAAAAATAAATAAAATGCCCTAAAAATAAGAAACAAAATGCCCTAAAAATAAGAAACAAAATGCCTTAAAAATAAGAAATAAACTAAGGTTTCTAATTGTTGCGTTTCCTAGACTTCTTTTTCTTTGGTTTTAATTTGGAATTCAGAATGTCCTGCCCTTGGCGTTTTATTTCTTCTCTTGATGTAAAACCGTCGTTTTCTTGGTCGTGATCGAAGTGAAAGTCGTCAGTGTCACTAAGATCATCACTTTCTATACGTATTCGAATGTTATCTGGTGGAAGTCTTGCTTCCAAGTACTCGTTTAGCTGAAAGAAAAAAAATCTTGATAATGAAAAAAGAAAAAAAAAAGAAGAAAAAGCCCTGCAGAACCACATGGAATTTGTTAATTTAAGTGTAATTTATAACAACTTTAATGAATGAAAATTACCCTAAACTTGAGTCTTTTTACCTACAACAGTTAACACATGATTGGATATCTTTTCCTAAAGCAATTATTTATCTTCGTGCAGCATGTTGGAATGGTTATGACACATATGACTAGTAATCTAAAGATTGCTAGCCAGTGGGTTCAAACTCTGTCGCGGCAAGCCGTTGTTTCCTCGAGTAATGAAAATTTTACACTCATGCTTAGTACTGGTTGGTTCAAGAAACAGATCTGAAAATGTATCTTTCTACACAATCAAAGTTTAAAGTAATTTCTATATGAATTAACTATATTCATGTGTTTCAAAACTGAGTTTTCATATCCAGTAAGATATAATTAATATCACAAACTGTATACAACTCATTATATACACTTAATGCTGAAGCTTTCTGGTTTCCATCTTATGACATTTAATAAAATGAAAACTTATTTGTTTCTCATGAAAACTGAAAATATTTGACTTTTGAATTTTAAAAATTTCAAAACTTGTGAGAATTTTTGAAAGTTTTTTATATAATATTATATCAATGTGAGATATCATTTTTAGTGATATTGTTTAACTGTAAACAAGGAGTGCACTTGGCTGAGTGGTTAAGGTCACTTGCCTCACACCACTGTAAGTTCAAATCCTGCCAGGAACTTTGGATTGGATGTAAGGAAGCTATAGGGAATTTGGATTTTTTAATGAGGGGCAGCCATGGTCTTCCTCAACCAGTAAAGCTGGAAAGTCACCATATGACCTATATTGTGTTGTGTAAAATAGAGAAAAACAGAATCCCTAAAGAAAGCCCAAAATGACAAACTTGAAAATGTTGCAGCTTACTTAATGCAAATTACTGTCCTCGCCCCATAGCACTGGTTTAAGCCAAATTCAACATTTAAACACGAAAATGGTGAAATTTGAATCTAGAAACATCTGCAGATGTGTTCATACTGCAGTAATCATGGAACCTTCAAATGCGATACTTTCCTGCCATTCCGTGACAAGCAGCATTTAGTCTCCAAGTAAAAGAATGTGTGTGCCCAATACGAGAAAACAATGGGCGGAACTAAACGAAAGGGGATCAGAGGTTATGAACCACCTACCTTTTCACTTTCTATCTTGTATGAAGGAGACGGCATACCTCCTTTCATTCCTAGGTTACTGAGCAGAAGATCCAGTTTACGTCGACACTGCAGTAAGTCGTCTATTGGCTCACCTTTCAAAAAGTTGTGGTATGGCTGAAATTATCACTAAACATTCAACACTTTAACCCTTCAAGCCATAGCATCAATACTAACTTACTCATCTCAAGATTAGAGAACTTTTTTCTGAATTCTGTCTCAGATTTAGACATTGCACAATCATCGTTCTGTGCCAATTTTTGACCAATCAAATATCTGACACTTGAGGAGATCATGTTTTAAATTTAAAGTTAATAAGCGTGTTGAATATGACCTGGTCAGATTGCCGCATGTGCAAGTTGGCCTGGCTCTATACTATAGGCTAGGGTTGTCATGTTTATCCGTTTAAACGGGTATGGTTGTTTTTTTAGCTAAAAACCGGTAAGAAAATTCAATTCAAATAAAGTTAGTATTTGATAAAGGGGCGACTAAGTTTTAAATTGATTCTAAATATTACCTTTTTTGCATTTTTTTCTAATGGTGACACCCCTACTATAGGTTAGGGCTAATCATTTTTGGTCCAAGCGGGTTGAATGTTAACTTACTTCTGGTAATTATTTGTGAAATCATTCTTCATTTTTTTCATACAGACAAAGCTAAAATATATATTCTTACCGGCTTGAGCCTCACATCTTTCAGTTTTTCCAAGATGGTCGCTGTACCAGACTGGAGGTCCATTAAAAGTTTATTATCTCTCTGGTATGCCTCTACCACCATGTCACGTTTCTTTTCTTGTTCTTGTACATAATTTGCCATACTCTCAACTGCATTTCTTCCTCTAGATAAAAAGCCAAACAAATCAATATATTGTATTATATGATTGAAAAAAAATAGTGAAGAAACAAAAAAAAAAGCAACAAAAAAATATAAAAAACAGTTTTTAAACATGGCAAAAAAATTTAAGACAGGGCCCAGGGTCCATGCCAGTTGGAAATTTTATATGATTCTTGAATAATTTTTCTTCAAAGGGGGATTTTTATAAAATCAAAGTAAAACAAGTGCAATGTATCAGTTACCTATTTTACTGCTAATTTAATGATAAATCTGCAGCAAACACTCAGCATTTTCATCAACCATTATTCTAAGTCTTCAAATATAATGTTGTATACAGTATGGAAAACATACTACATCTATAAATAATTTTGGAGAAGAACTGTTATTAGAAAAGGAGCGGGGAAAAACGAGATGATATTTGGCCCAAACTTTGCCAAACAAGACTCCTGTATAATTTAAGCAGAAACTTACTGCTTGATCTGCCTTTCAAATGTAAACTTTATTTCTTCGAACACTTCACGTAGATTTGTAAGTTCCTCGGTCACAAAATTTCTCTTCAACATTTTCTCTTTCTCCATGCTACGTAACTGCTGGTATGTGAAGTCTTGGTTTTGAAGCCGGTACAGTATATCCTTGGGGGAAAAAATGTATTTCAATGATATTGTATCAATGTGTGAATACAATGTTTATTTCGATAAAATATTTCATCACCAGGAAATAAACTAGAACTATCACTAAATGTGATTAATACCCCCACAAGACTGCTTCGGAAATCAGGATGTTACTAGTAACAGAATACCTTGTAAAAGAATTGAAATATAGAGTTATGGTTGTTAGCAATTAAAGATAGTTGTGGTTCTTCTGTGCAGTATTTCAGTCATAGAGGCGGGTAGTTTCCTAACCATCGTTCCTGAAGAGTTACATAAGTATTAGACTACCTTCCTCCGCGCTAAACTACCAAAGCATCTCCCGGGGAAATACATGTAAATAAAGGAACAAATCTATACAATATCATTATTTTATTGAATTACTCTGTAATAAGTCCAGAAAGACAAAGAAAAGGAACAAAGGGCAAAAACTCTATAAAAACTGAAGATAGAGTTATAGTTCTTGTGCACTGCACTTCCTCTTATTGTGCTTGAACATTGTATGAAGTTGTTTTGAATTCCAACCAGTACGTATTAAGTTATGCTCAGGACAAGGAAAAGTATCGAAGGGCAGTAACTCTGTATTTTGTCAAAATGGAGTTATGACTCTTGTGCACTGTACTTCCTTTTAATGTCCTTGACAACTGTATGAAGTTGTACTGAATTCCAACCAGTAGTTTTCAAGTTATGCTCTGGACAAGGAAAAGTAACAAAGGGCAATAACTCTGTAATTAGTCAAGATGGAGTTATGGTTCTTGTGCACTGCACTTCCTCTCAATGTGCTTGACCATTGTATGAAGTTATATTGAATTCCAACTATTATTCTTCAAGTTATGCTCCGGACAAAAAAGCAATGGAAAAGTAACAAAGGGCAATAACTCTGTAATTAGTCAAGATGGAGTTATGGTTCTTGTGCACTGCACTTCCCCTTATTGTGCTTGACCATTGTATGAAGTTGTTTTGAATTCCAACCAGTAGTTTTCAAGTCATGCTCTGGACAAGGAAAATTAACAAAGGGCAGTAACTCTGTAATTAGTCAAGATGGATTTATGGTTCTTGTGCACTGCACTTCCTCTCAATGTGCTTGAACATTGTATGAAGTAATATTGAATTCCAACCATTAGTCTTCAAGTTATGCTTTGGACAAAAAAGCAATGGAAAAGTAACAAAGGGCAATAACTCTGTAATTAGTTAAGATGGAGTTATGGTTTTTGTGCACTGCACTTCCCCTTATTGTGTTTGACAATTGTATGAAGTTATTTTGAATTCCAACCAGTAGTTTTCAAGTTATGCCCCGGACAAGGAAAAGTAACAAAGAGCAATAACTCTATAATTAATCAAGATGGAGTTATGGTTCTTGTGCACTGCACTTCCTCTCAATGTGCTTGACCATTGTATGTAGTTATATTGAATTCCAACTATTAGTCTTCAAGTTATGGTCCGGACAAAAAAAAGCAATGGAAAAGCAACAAAGGGCAATAACTCTGTAATTACTTTAGATAGAGTTATGGTTCTTGTGCACTGCACTTCCCCTTATTGTGTTTGACAATTGTATGAAGTTGTTTTGCATTCCAACCAGTAGTTTTCAAGTTATGCCCCGGACAAGGAAAAGTAACAAAGGGCAATAACTCTGTAATTAGTCAAGATAGAGTTATGGTTCTTGTGCACTGCACTTCCTCTCAATGTGCTTGACCATTGTGTGTAGTTATATTGAATTCCAAGCATTAGTCTTCAAGTTATGCTCCGGACAAGGAAAATGCAACGGACGTCTGGACCGACCGACCGACCAACCACCGGGTGACTCCTATATACCCCCCAAACTTCGTTTTTGGGGGTATAAATATATGTGACACTCTGCCTCTGATGTAGATGAAAAAGCAATTCTTGCATATCTGACAGGATTATTATCTGTTTAAAAACCTGTCTTACACTTCACATATAAGACCAGTCTTATGCTTAATTAATGATGTCATTCCACAGTGCCTTTTATGAATGAATTATATGTTCTTTGGATGATGTCATTGAGCGGTTATGAATTAAGTTGTCAAGTTAAACCTATCAGCTTCGTTATTTATTTTCGTGACAGAGCCATATTTATTTTTCACACAGCTTTTAAAGAAGGGAGCGCTAAATTCATGCATCAAATTTTAATCTAAAAATATTTTGAAAGCAACATCTAAGAGGCCAACTAAATGGTTTTGCAAATACTTATTGAAAAGTTATCTTTTCTTTTTACCTCTATGTCAGATACATGTGTTGCATTCATAATTCTCTCAAAGGCATCTTCCAATGTCAGAATTTTCTCCTGTCTCTCAATTTTTTCATTCTGTAACCTTGCCTGTTTAAAATCTGAAAAGTTAATACTAAATTTTTAATACTACAAAAAAAAGGGTTCACTTCTGCAATGGTTGATAACTTAAAAAAAAAAAAAAACATCAATGCTCAGGGTTGCCAAAATATTCATCCTACTTAAGTAAATAAGTTGAGTAATTCAAAGGCATTGAGTGCAAATTACTTTAAAATGACCTCCTGCTTAGATTATTGAAAAAAATCATCAATGTTTGAAATTCATACCACCATGGTATATTCTTTTTTCTAACATGACTCGCATTTTTCCCTATTGAACATAGAAGGACAAAAGTGTGTGTTATTACGCTGCAAAATCACTGTTGACGTTCTATATTAAGACATTTAACGTCACCATTAGAAATGTCACATAACCACTAAAGATGAGACGTGCTGAAAATAAGAACGGATACTATTCAGGCGTAATTTAGCTTAATATCAGCCACGGCACTATCTGTCGTTGTTGTGTCAGAATTGAAATAATATATCCAAATCGGTGATTTTATTGCTTGATAAAATATTTACTGTTTGTTTTTCAGATGTGCATCATTATATCACTATGGCTATGCAACCCCCTGATATAATTCCTTGCTTCGAACTCCAGACAGTGATTTTAATGACCAACTAATTAGTTTGTGATAAATTATTTCTTAAATAAATGCTCTTCCCCTTATAAACACCCCCTTTTAATAATATAGAAACAGACTAGAACTGTGTTCAAAGGACACAGATGCCCCTGTGCAGATGTGCTCGTAAACAAGATCATGCATATCTGTATGTAAGATTTTTATGTGGAACTTTTTATTAAAACCTGCCATCCGGTTTAAGAGGAGTTGTGTTCACAAAATTTCTATACGGTATATAGTGAAAAAATCAACAAAGGGCCATAATTCTGTTAAATTTGGTTGCAGCAAAAATTCCTCCCTATACATTAAGATTGTTCATCCCTGTAAGTTTAAGAAAAATCTGCCATCCGGTTTATGAGGAGTTGTGTTCACAAAATTTCAATATTGTATATTGTGAAAAAATCAACAAAGGGCAATAATTCTGTTAAATTTGGTTGCAGCAAAAATTCCTTCCTTTACTACCATTTACACATTAAGGTTGTTCATCCCTGGAAGTTTAAGCAAAATCTGCCATCCGGTTTGCGTTCACAAAATTTCTACATAGTATACAGGGACTACCTTGGACTGAAAATTTAGGGAGAATTAAGTGAGTTCTCCCTTCTGGAAAAATAGGGAGAAGTTTTGAAATTTAGGGAGAAGTGATCATCAAATAGAGTTATATCATAAGATTTTTTTCTAATTTTATTTCACAAAATATACATGTATACCTTCATAATTATGTACATGCCTATAAAATATACATGTATATGGCACGGAAAATAAACAAATGTGTATTTGAAAGTAGCTATGATGATATTTAATGAAGTACTAGTTGCTCAATGAAGTTTATTTAAGCATTTGATTAACATCAACACAACATTTTTTAATTTTTTTTTAGGTTCAGCAGTTTCTGACTAACTTTTAAATGCAATTAATTGAGAAGAAGTTCTTTCATAATAATTATCCAAATTCATTTGCATCAGTTTTAAAATGATGTATATTATTGTTATAGCCATAATATACAGTTGTAATTAATAACTATCATAAATGTAATGTTGATAACAGGAATGGACAGGCAAACGGATATGGGATATTGTAAATGAAACAAGACATATAGGGGAAATTGTAAATAAAACAGAACCCGAGTCCCTGAGTATATATAGTGAAAAAATCAACAAAGAGCCATAATTCTGTTAAATTTGGTCGCAGCAAAAATTCTTTCCTTTACAGTTACCATCTACACATTAAGGTTGTTAATCCCTGGAAGTTTAAGCAAAATCTGCCATCCGGTTTAAGAGGAGTTGCATTCACAAGATTTCGGGAGGGACGTATGGACAAGTGCAACGCTATATGCTCCCCACTTTTTGGAGCATAAAAACTGAATATCAGGTTGATTGAAGGTAATTATGATAAATCCAAGGAAAAAGGCACACATTTTAACAGAGCTATTTATGATTAATTCAATGAAAAAGGCACACATTTAAGCAGCGCTCTTTATGATAAATCCAATGAACAAGGCATACATTTAAATAGCAGAGCTTATTATGACAAGAGCCGGTTGAACCGGGTGATGTTCCCTGAATAGGTTTTGGACAAAGGAGGGTATACCTCTTATAGTGTCAGAATTATGTCACAGACAAAGTTCAAAGTGTAAAAACAACCCAAATAATGCAAGGTCATGCTGTGACCTTGACCTTAAAGGTAGCGACCCAAATGTTGCGCGCGACACGTTGTCTCAATATGGTGATCATTTCTGTGAAATAGTTTTAAAATCCGACTTCAAATAACGAAGGTATGGGCCGGACAAAAATTCGGGACGGACTTACGGATAGACGAATTTATTTTCATGGAGCATAATAAAACTGATAACAAGAGGGCCATGATGGCCCTGAGGTCGCTCACCTGTATATAGCCCCCCCCCCCCACTCCCCCATGCCAATGTTTACCCAAGGGCTTTTATTTGTTTATTTGAACAAACTTGGTAGACACCCATAAGAAGATGTTTCATGCTAAACATCTAAGTTCTAGCTCATTGGGTTTTTTAAAAGAAGATTTTTTAAGTTTTTACTATACACATATAGTTAAAAACAATGACATCCCTGAGGCAGGGCCAGTTTTGACCCCCAGGCTTTAATTTGTAGATATTTACTTATAGATGTTTCATGCTTAATATCTAAACTAAAGCTATTTGGGTTTTTTCAAGAAGATTTTTAAGTTTTTGCTATACACATATAAGGAAAATCAATGACCCCCGGGGCGGGGCCAGTTTTGACCCCAGGGCTTTTATTTGAACATACTTGGTAGAGACCCATTAGAACATGTTTCATGCTAAATATCTTAGCTTTAGCTCTTTGGGTTCTTTAAAAGAAGATTTTTTAAGTTTTTACTATATGCATATAGGGAAAATCAATGACCCCCTGGGGCAGGGCCAATTTTGACCCCAGGGCTTTTATTTGAACAAACTTGGTAGCCATTCACAAGAAGATGTTTCATGCCAAATATCTAAGCTCTAGCTCTTACGGTTCTTTAAAAGAAGATTTTTTAAGTTTTTACTATATGCATATAGGGAAAATTAATGACCCCCTGGGGCGGGGCCAATTTTGACCCCAGGGCTTTTATTTGAACAAACTTGGTAGCCATTCACAAGAAGATGTTTCATGCCAAATATCTAAGCTCTAGCTCTTACTGGTCTTTAAAAGAAGATTTTTTAAGTTTTTACTATATGCATATAGGGAAAATCAATGACCCCCTGGGGCGGGGCCAATTTTGATCCCAGGGCTTTTATTTGAACAAACTTGGTAGCCATTCACAAGAAGATGTTTCATGCCAAATATCTAAGCTCTAGCTCTTACGGTTCTTTAAAAGAAGATTTTTAAGTTTTTACTATATGCATATAGGGAAAATCAATGACCCCCCAGGGCGGGGCCAATTTTGACCCCAGGGCTTTTATTTGAACAAACTTGGTAGACACTCACTAGAAGATGTTTCATGCCAAATATCTTAGCTCTAGCTCTTTGGGTTCTTTAAAAGTAGATTTTTCAAGTTTTTTACTATATGCATATAGGGAAAATCAATGACCCCCTGGGGTGGGGCCAATTTTGACCCCAGGGCTTTTATTTGAACAAATTTGGTAGACATTCACTAGAAGATGTTTCATGCCAAATATCTAAGCTCTAGCTCTTACAGTTCTTTAAAAGAAGATTTTTAAGTTTTTACTATATGCATATAGGGAAAATCAATGACCCCCCTGGGCGGGGCCAATTTTGACCCCAGGGCTTTTATTTGAACAAACTTGGTAGACACTCTTTAGAAGATGTTTAATGCCAAATATCTAAGCTCTAGCTCTTATGGTTTTTTAAAAGAAGATATTTAAAGATTTTTCTTTCGGTTGCCATGGCAACCAGAGTTCTGCATGGAATTAAATTCTTTGAACAATTTTTAAAGGTGACCACCAAAGGAACATTCCTGTGAAGTTTGGATGAAATTGGCTCAGTGGTTTATGAGGAGATGTCATTTAAAGCAAAAGTTTACGGACGGACGACGGACGGACGCCGGACGGACGCCGGACGAAAAGCGATCACAAAAGCTCACCCTGTCACTTTGTGACAGGTGAGCTAAAAAGGCACACATTTTAACAGAGCTGTTTATGATAAATCCAATGAAAAAGGCACACATTTTAACAGCTCTTTTTCTTGTATCCAATGAAAAAGGCACACATTTTAACAGCTCTTTTTGTTGTATCCAATGAAAAAGGCACACATTTTAGCAGAGCTCTTTATCAAGATAAATCCAATGAAAAAACACACACATTTTAACAGCTCTTCATGAAAAAATGCAAACATTGTAGCAGAGCATGTGCTTCCATTATATTTAATCCAGCATAAAATAATACAGAAACAGAACATTTTATTTTATCTTGACAATACTTAACTTATTTTATACATTTATTAAAACCCTCCTTTTGAAAAGCGTAACATCCTTCAGGAATGTTTATAAGAGGAACTGATAGTTAGTGCACAACTTTGAAAGTGGTATCAAGTGTATATTTGAGCCATGTCATGACAAAACCAACATTGTGTGTTTGCGACCAGCATGGATCCAGACCAGCCTGCGAATCCGTGCAGTCTGATCAGGATCCATGCTTTTCGCTAACCAATCCTATTACAAGTAGAGAAACTGATAGCGAACAGTATGGATCCACGCTAGTCGCAAACCCATTATGTTGGTTTTGTCATGACACGGCTCATTTCCTGTTAGAAATTCATTTTTTTACACTTGCACAAAAACATGAATAATAAGACCTGACAGGTCTGTTTTATGCTGGAGTATATGTAATGGACGCACCAGCTCTGTTAAAATGGGTGCCTTTTAACAGGAAAGATGATTTTGGCTAACTTCGGGTGTTACAAACTTACAGCAATCTAGGGGTCAAAACCACCTCTCACCTACTGGAGCTAAGAGATGCATAGACTCAAGTAATATGAACCCGTTTATTCGCCTCTTACAATCAGACAGGGATAAACAGTGGCTGCCATTCCTAAAGGCAACCCCTCAGGCAAAAGGAAACTCTATATTGGTGGCTGCTAAGCAAGCAAAGAGTTACATTGTATAGAGTTACATCAGTGTCAGTGACACTGACCACTTGTGATAAATTAATGAAATATCAGAACTTACCACTTGTGTCACTGATTAATGCTACACGTTGCTGTTGCTGAAAATATAGAAGAGATATTAGAAATATAGGAACCAAGTGCTACCTTTGTTAAGACATGCAGCAACAAATAATGAAAACATATTTAGGGAATATTGAATGAGTGTAAGTTCAGTACTAAATTTATTGCACGAGTTGAATAAAATTATATTATGAGAGCCTCTGGCGAGCATAATATTATTTTATTCAACGAGTTCAATAAATTCAGTAATGGACTAACACGAATTTAATATTCTTTTTATCATATACCCAAAATAAAGACCATTTAAAGTGAAAAAAGAGTCATTTTTCATTGACGCGCCTATAGTATAACCCTAACATTTAGAGCGTCTTTACACTATGTTTGTATAACGCTAATGACGTCACATCAAAATATATGCACGGCCGTGCAATACCATTTTTATGGAGTCGCAAAATTGGCACGGGTATGTGATAAATGTATTTGATGTTTCATTGTATAGAAATGATCACATTTAGGGAAGAAAATATGTAAAAGTTGGTAAGTCATAAGCTAAGTCCCTGATAAAAGATAATATAATAGATTCCTGAGGGTTCAAGTTTCCAGTCAGGCTGCCTATTTTGTGCCATATAAACTTTCTTTCAGTCTATTCTTTGTTAAGAACACAATTATTTTAAATTTCAATTTTAAGAATCTTAATAAATCATAACTAGTAAAATGCTTAACCAGCAGGGCTTTTTTTCCTTCTAAAGCAGGGGGCTTCCCCAAAGAACAGTTCTTTAAAATCATGCAGTTTTCCCCAAAAATTGAATTTACATAAAGTTTTTTCTTTCGCTTTTACAAATATACAATGATTTTCCCCACAAGTTAAGGACAGGGCTGCTTCCTAAACCTGAGAAAAAAGCCCTGATTTTACTTTACATCAAACTAAGAACCACATAAATTAATTATTGCGGTGACTAATCTTTTTAACATACATTAACTCTGCATAGTTTGTTACAAATAGAAGTTAACTGTTTGGATAGAAATTATAATTTGAGATGCTTTTCTTTTCTGTTTTTTTTTTCCTATGCTTTGAAAGTTTTATGGTTGACAGCACAAATTTAAGTAAAATCTCTGCAGTACAACACTTTTTGGGAGAAATATATTTAATATTCATGTAGTCTAAGGTTGTTGCTGAGTGACGTTGTTCTATAAGAGGTTAAATGTATAGTAAAGTCTTTCTTTGAAAAGTTACTAAGGGTTGTCATTGTGAAATCTTTTATTACAGGGCCTATCGATTCCATTAATTGGGAAAAAATATTATACAATACACTCTTTAAGTCAAGGTTTTGTAGGTCTTTAGATGATTTTCAAACATTTTAAATTGTTCACAATATATCACAGTATGTCTGTAAATATTGCAGTATATATCGCAATATGATTTTTCTTTGCAATACACATCCTTATTCAGAAGAATTAATACTGAATGTTGTAAAGAGGTTATTCCTCTACAGAGGAATACACTACACTGTAGATCCTAAACCAGAAACAATTTGCTTGACTCAGTCTAACATAGGCTTAGAACTAATGCAAAGAACTAAATTATGGATTTCTACTAAACTCCGGGTAAATGAACCTTTGCTTTTAACACAGTATAACATAGGCTTAAACTTTGCCGCAAAGAACTAAGTTATGGATTTTAACTAAACACCGTGTAAATGAACCTTTGCTTTACACAGTATAACATAGGCTTAAACTTTGCTGCAAAGTTATGGATTTTAACTAAACACTGTAAATTTGAACCTTTTTGTCTGTCCTGTCAGCCAATTCTTTACGTTTCTCCACGTCTTTCTTCATGTCATTTAATTTCTGGTCTCGAGCACGTTTAGCCTGGTACATTTCTCTCTCCATTGTGTGAAGATCACGCTGAAAATAGAATTAACTCACTTTTTGTAACGGTGTTGAAGCAGCGCTCTAGACGCATGCAGACATCATGATCACAAAGATGAAATTATTGCTCTTTTCGCTAATTTTTTCATTCTTTATTTATTTTCGTATATAAATCGGTGTAAGGAGATGAATTAGAAGTCTTAAAAGTGTGTTTCATCAAGTAAAATGCGAGATTTTAGCATTTTATCATTCAAGCGACATGTCCAGTATGTACCTGAATATAGTATTTAGTGTGATGCTCAAACACTTTTCTTTTTTAAGCCTCACTAGCTGAAAATACGACAGAAAATGAACATGAAGAATTAACCCCTTTTTTCTGTACTTTTGCTACTCTTTGAGTAGAATTTGAGTTGAACCTGTACCCACATACAATGTCATATTTACAACTCAACAGATATGGTTTAAAAAAAGCTGAAGATTTGGAATCCAAAAACAGAGGCATATTTTTAAGCACACATAAATCGGTTGTAATCTTTAAAATTTAAGCACAGAAAATAGGGAGGCCTAGACATCTGTCCAGTCTGACATCTGTCATCTCTCTGGGACTGCAATGCCTGCTAAATATTTTGTATATTTCAGTACTTAAATACCCTAAAAAAAATCAATCTGTTTACAGAATCGGGCAAGAGTTAACTAATGTGCAAATAAATTACAAAGTATGCCGACATGGCACGGAAAAACTCGATTCCATTACAATGATCTTACCTTAAAACAAACTGTTACAATTTTCTAACAAGTTTATAGCAAAAAATCAAGCCCAGTTAAGAGTAAGGTGTGAACTATGGTACAATAAGAAAGAATGAAAAGTTAAAACAGTATGGGAAAGGTATACCACATAAAATGTAAGATATGATGATATAAATTGTTTTCAATAAAACATACCCTAGAATCTTCGCTAGATATGATTGCCTTCTTTTTCATTTCTAACAATTCTTCTGCCTCTGTGGTACATTCCTTTAGCTTCTCCTCGAGGCAATCAAGTATGGCAGGGTAGTTGAGGACCTCCTCAATATTTAAAGTACAGTTATTGTCACACAAAATAAAAATATAAACTTTTTCATTTTGAATTTTACAGTAAATGTATACTGCATGCAGTACCTTTAAATATGATTATTAAGCTCCGCCGACATAGTGCTCTGACAAATAATTAATCATTATATTGATATAAGGCCTTTGCGACTCTGTAAAAATAGTACATGTATAGCACTGCTATGCATATATTTTGATGTGACATCATTTGCCTTAATAAATTAATAAAGTAATTACTAAATTTAGTAATGAATCTACATGATATATAATACTTTATTTATCAAATGCCCAAAATAATGACGGTTTAAAGTGAAAAAAAAATTTTTCATTGATGTATCTAAAGTGTAACGCTAACATTTAGCGTGTCTTAAAGCTATGTTTGTATAATCTAACAGACGTCACATCAAAAAATATGCATTACCGTGCAAACCGTTTTTACGGAGTAGCAAATGCGGCACGGATATGTGATATTAATACCCTTACACTTCTTGAAAATACACATGTAATTCTTATTATTATTGTACATTTGTAATGTAACTTTTTATTTGATAATCTCAACATTTATAGTTTTATATAAACGACTGCTGTCAATTCATGAAGAAATCACATATTTTCCTTTAAAAAATATGTCAAAGACAGAAAAGGCCGGGTTGCATTCGTATACCAAATAACATGATGCTCTGATGTTACAAAAAAATTTTACCACTGACCATTAATGACAAAAATTTAACTAAGTCGGTAAACAGGATGTGGATGAGCAATAGACCTGAAATCCCATGGTATCTCAGACCACGTATCAATGATTTATGCCAAATATCAAGAGGCTCTCAGATTAGTAGTTGCTGAGAAAACTGTTACGGAAATTTCCTACCATTGACCATTCAATGTCGCAAATTTAACTAAGTCAGTAAACAGGAAGTGGATGAGAGACAGACCTGAAATCGAATCTCAGAATATGGGACCATGAGTCAATGCTGTCAGCAAAATATCAAAAGGCCGTGTTAAGTAGTTGCTGAGAAAACTGTTTAAAAAAAATTTCCTACCAATGACAATTAATGATGAAAATTTACCTAAGCCAGTTAAAAGGAAGTGGATAAGAAACAAACCTGAAATCGAATCCCACGGTATGGGAACACGTGTCAATGCTTTATGCCAAATATCAAGAGGCTCACAGTGATTAGTAGTTGCTGAGAAAACTGTTATGAAAATTTCCTACCATTGATCATTAATGTCGAAAATTAAACTTAAGTTGATAAACAGGAAGTGGATGAGCAACAGACCTGAAATGGAATTCCACTATATGGGACTATGTGCCAATGCTGTATGCCAAATATCAAGAGGCTGTGATTATAGTTGCTGAGAAAATTGATATGAAAATTTCCTACCAATGACCATTAATGTCGAAAATTTAACTAAGCCGCTTAACAGGAAGTGGATGAGCGACAGACCTGAAATCAAATCCCACAGTATGGGACCATGTGTCAATGCTGTATGCTAAATTTTAAGAGGCTGTGACAAGAAGTTGCTGAGAAAACTATTACGAAAAGTTTTTCCCAGTGTTTGCACCAGTTCAACCCGGCCAAAAATGAAGTTTGCTGTATTACAAACTCATTATAAAGATTTCTAACAGGTTATAGGGCCATATATAAACTGTTCTTTGTTTATAAAGCCAAGCCACTAGGATATAAATATCTCCTATAACTAATACTTTAATGGTAAATTTTAAAGTTATGTGTGAAACAAGGGTGCCATAGTCACAAAATACGCCCGTTTACGAAAGCTTTAGATGGAGATAAGTGTTATCTAGCAAGCAAGTTTTTATTCTTGGGACTGTGTTGTTAAATGAACCTTAAAACAAATCAGTAGGAAAGATATGCACAGGATGTGTGACCTTGACCTTGGTCGCAGGGACCTGAATTTTATGCACGGCACTCAGCCTCACAATGATGAACATTTGTGCCAAATTATATTGAAATCCCTCTATGCATGTAGAAGTTTTGCTCCAGACAAGCGTTTTTCTATGAGCTCTAACTGTGACCTTCACCTTTGACTTAGAGACTTGGTTCATGTGCAGGGCACTACGTCTCATGGTGGTGAAGAATTCTATAAAGTAACATTAAAATTCCTCCATGCATGTAGAAAATATGCCCCGGACAACATCTGGATATTTAATCATCTCCAGTGACCTTGACCTTGCACAAAATTAACCTAAATTAAATGTGTCACACCTGTAGTCATGATAGTTACCATTTGTGCTACAATCCATCAATAATGATGACTAAATGGTCCCTTATACACATCTTCAAATTTTTATTTGAACTTTGACCTATGTGTAAACCTTGACTTTGGTTGCAGGGATCTGAATTTTGCGTGCGACACTCAGCCTCACAAATGGTGACACAAGTTATATTGAAATCCCGCCCTATGATGTAGAAGTTTTTGCTTCCGGACATTTCAATGAGCTCAAGTGGGACCTTGGACCTTTGACTGAATAATGGAGCAGATACCCATGGTGGTGAATTTCATAAAGTATTTAAAAATTCTTACATACATGTACGGAGATCCGACAAACAATTGGATTTTCACCATCTTTAGTGAACCTTTGACCTTGCAATTGACCTAAAGTACATGTGTCACACCTAGTCATGAAATGACCATTTGGTGTTACAATACCCTCATAAATGATAGATTAAATTGTCCCTATACAGCTCTTCATATTTTTTATCTAAACTCTAATATTATTTATTTGAACTTGACCTCTATGTGTGACCTTGACCTTGGCTGCAGGGCCTGAATTTTGTGTGCGACACTCGCCTCACAATGGTGAACATTTGTGCCAAGTTATATTGAAATCCTCTATGCATGTGGACAAGCGTTTTTCAATGAGCTCTAAGTGTGACCTTGACCTTTGACCTAGAGACCTAAATTCATGTGCGTGACATGGCTGTCTCATAATGGTGAACATTTCTATGAAATTTCATTAATAATCCTCCATGCGTGTTAGGAGATATGCTCCAACAAAAATCTGGATATTTTCATCATCTATTAGTGACCTTGACTTTGTATATATTTACCTAATTATAATGTATCACAGCCATAGTCGCTTGAATATGACCATTTGTGTTACAATCCTTTAATAAATGATGACTAAATGGTCCATATACCATCTTCATATTGTTTATCTGAACTTTGACTCTATGTGTGACCTTCGAACTTGGCCCGCAAGGACCGTGAATCTTGCGGCGCGACAGCAACCATCACAATGGTGAACATTTGTGCAAGTTTATATTGAAATCCCTCTATATGTGGAAAGTTTTGCTCCGGAACAAGCATTTTTTCAATGAACTCTAAGTGTGACCTTGACCTTTGGACCTATTAGACCTGGTTCATTGTGCGCGCACTGTCCTCATAGTGTGAACATTTCTATGAAGTTTCATCAAATCCCTCATACATGGTAGGGATATTGCTCCAGTGACAAAATTGGAGCCGCGCCACCCACCAGGGCGTTCCCATAAATACGTCTGTTTTCAAACGGGCGTATAAAAATTAACACTCACCTGTTTTTAATGTGTCCATAATAGCCTCGTATCTACAAGTTATATTTTTAGCTGCTCCAACTTTGATGACAGCTTTGTCAATTTCATTCTGTAAACGTCTTATTTCCTAAACAGTATTAGAAATAGATTTATTCAGTGGTTAAATCATATATTTTTTTATAAATAAAAACAAACAAACAATAGTCATGTCAAATAAAATTGACTTTTTGAAATGCTTAAATCTTTAAATTATATATTAAAATTCTGCTAGATGTCAATAACATAAAAGAGCTGTCTGAGCAGCAGCCTGCTCCACTTTTCTTAGTGTTGTACTGTAAACTTGTAAAAGCATTATTGTTAGTACTTCATATATGAATGACCATATGAACAAAAACTTAACCAAAAAGGTTAATGGAAAAAGTAAATAAAATGGACGCAGCTGGGTGGGTCATGACATAAGCTCTGCTCATTGCCTTGAAAAAGGAGACCCCCTTTAGCAGAATCATCTTTTTTACAACAACAATTTCATATTTTCCCAAAGTAATACTTCACAATAAATTCAACCTCTGTTGAGCATGACCTGTCCACTAAAATCCTCGTCCACCCAAGTGTGTTGCTCTACACAGGTTCTAACATGACCCATATTTTTTCCTATTGAATATTATAAAAAGGACAGATTAACAAGAGGGCCATGATGGCCCTGAGGTCGCTCACCTGTATATAGGCCCCCCCCCCAACCACCATCCCCCCCCCCCCCAACGTTGCAGGGCCAATTTAACCCCAGGGCTTTTATTTGAACAAACTTTGTAGACACTTACTAGAAGATGTTTCATGCTTAATATCTAAACTCTAGCTATTTGGGTTTTTTCAAAGAAGATTTTAAGTTTTTGCTATACACATATAAAGAAAATCAATTACCCCCGGGGCAGGGCCAATTTTGACCCCAGGTCTTTTATTTGAACAAACTTTGTAGACACTCACTAAAAGATGCCTCATGCTTAATATCTTAACTCTAGCTATTTGGGTTTTTTCAAAGAAGATTTTTAAGTTTTTGCTATACATATATAAGGAATCAATGACCCCTAGGGCGGTGCCAATTTTGACGCCAGGGCTTTTATTTGAACAAACTTGGTAGACACCTATTAGAACATGTTTGATGCTAAATATCTTAGCCATAGCTCTTTGAGTTCTTTAAAAGAAGATTTTTTAAGTTTTTACTATTATGCATATAGGGAAAATCAATGACCCCCCGGGGCGGGGCCAATTTTGACCCCAGGGCTTTTATTTGAACAAACTTGGTAGACACTTATTAGAACATGTTTCATGCTAAATATCTTAGCTCTAACTCTTTTGGTTCTTAATAGAAGATTTTTTAAGTTTTTACTATATGCATATAGGGAAAATCAATGACCCCCTGGGGCGGGGCCAATTTTGACCCCAGGGCTTTTATTTGAACAAACTTGGTAGACACCTATTAGAACATGTTTGATGCTCAATATCTTAGCCATAGCTCTTTGAGTTCTTTAAAAGAAGATTTTTTAAGTTTTTACTATATGCATACAGGGAAAATCAATGACCCCACCGGGGCGGGGCCAATTTTGACCCCAGGGCTTTTATTTTGAACAAACTTGGTAGACACCCATTAGAACATGTTTCATGCTAAATATCTTAGCTCTACCTCTTTGGGTTCTTTAAAAGAAGATTTTTTAAGTTTTTTACTATATGCATATAAAATTAATGACCTCCCCCCCAATTTTGGACCAGGGCTTTTATTTGAACAAACTTGGTAGACACTCACTAGAAGATGTTTCATGCCAAAATATCTAAGCTCTAGCTCTTATGGTTTTTTAAAAGAAGATATTTTAAGTTTTTTTTAAGTTCTGCATGGAATTAAATTTTTTGAACAATTTTTAAAGGTGACCACCAAAGAAACATGCACTGAAAATAAGTAAAGAAACAAATTATGCGCAATTCAGCTTGGTATCAGATACGGCAACATTTATTTGTTGATGTCGATGTTAAGTTTGAAAAATAATTTTCCCAAAACCCCAGGGGTTTATTTTTCGGTGCACATTCAAAATGTTTTGGGCAAACTTCCCCCCGTGATAAAAATTCTCAAAATCTAAACCCCCCAAACCCTTGTTTTAAATTAGCGAAAAAAATCACTGATTTGGATAATATTTTTACTTAAAAAACATAAAAAAGGTTTTACCTGTTCCAGCTCCTGGTAATCATAATGTTTGAATTTCATCATTCGATAAATTTTCGCCTTTTAAGCTTTTTTAGTTTTTTCCCAAAATTCTCTTTTTTATTTTCAATAAATTTTAAAACAATTTTCACCTCAATACTTCGGGGCCCCTTTTCCCCTTTAAATAGCTTTTTTTAATAATTTTCAAAAAATTTTGTACCCTTTTTTAAAAAGAGGTTTCAGTTTTCCTTTGTCCCCTCATGTTTGGCCAATTTCTGTTGGGCCCAAATTTTTTTGACAGACGGACAGACAGTGCACAACTAGACTTGGTACTGATCATTCCTGAAAAGTTTGGATAAAAATTGCACCAGAAGTTTATGAGGAGTAGTCTGGACAAGCTTTTGGGTATCTGGCAACACACAGAAAAAAACACCTTTTTATCAAAGGGCCATAACTCGGCCAAAAAATCATTCAACCGGAAAACCCGTGCAATATGGGCAAGGACTTGTGCTACAGATCAATCCTGTAAAGTTTCATTGAAATTGCATTAGTGGTATAAGATAAGTAGTCCGGACAAACTTTAAAAATAAAAATTATTAAATGGCCTTAACTCTGACAAAATCATTGAACCGGAAAATGCTGACAATATGCACAACTAGACTTGGTACTGATCATTCCTGTAAAGTTTGGATGAAATTGCACCAGTAGTTTATGAGGTGTAGTTTGGACAAGCTTTTGTGTATCTGGCAACACACAGAAAAAAACACCCTTTTATCAAAGGGCCATTACTCGGCCAAAAATCATTCAACCGGAAAACCCGTGCAATATGCGCAAGGACTTGAGCTACAGATCAATCCTGTAAAGTTTCATTGAAATTGCATTAGTGGTATAAGAGAAGTAGTCCGGACAAACTTTAAAATTAAAAATTATTAAAGGGCCATAACTCTGACAAAAATTATTGAACCAGAAAATGCTGACAATATGCACAACAAGACTTGGTACTGATAATTCCTGTAAAGTTTGGATGAAATTGCACCAGTAGTTTATGAGGAGTAGTTTTGTGACGGACCGATGGACAGACAGACAGACGGAGAAGTGATCCCTATATGTCGCCACTACTCAGTAAAAGGCAAACACAAAAAAACTTTAAAAATTTCCCCCCATTATAAATAAATATAAAATTTTTCCTTTTTTTTGGGAAATGTCATAAATTTTCAAGGGGGAATTTTCGGTTTTTATCAGTTTTTCTTTTTTGGGTTTTTCAAATCGAATTTCAATTTTCTTTAAAAATTCGATTGAATCCCAATTATTTTTTGGGCCAAAAAAACCCTTCAGCAAAAATTTTTAAAAAATTAAAAGACCCGGGTTTACTTTTGGGAAAAGGGTAAAAAAAAAGGCGACTATAAATTTTGGGGAAGCCCAGAAATTTTTTTTTTTAAATAAAATGGAAAATTTTTTCCAAATTTAAAACCCCGGGTGTCTCTAAGGGAATTTTGCTAAAACCAATTTTCGTTGTAATCTCGACTTTATGCTAAGGGGGTTTTCAAGCCCCCTTTCAATTCAATTTTTAAAAAGGGAAAATGCCCAGAAAAATTTGTCAGTGTTTCTTTGTAAAAATAATGAGTACAAAATGTTAAACTTTGATAATTATTCAGGTTCTAAACACTATAATTTGCCAATTAAACCCGGCTTAATTGGAACGACAAGGACGGGATTTAGCATGATAAGCAACTACGTAAAAGCAACAACAACAACTAAAGTAAAATGGAAAAGGCTTTTAACTTTATAGTTACTATTCATTAGTTTTCATTTATAGCTATATGATAAAAAAAGAAACAAATTGTTCAGTTTTCATAGTTTATCTCTTTTGCATTTGTCTAAATATAACTGCTTTGTCAGTGTCCTTAGGAAACATTTAAAAAGACTTGAAAGCTAAAATTTAGCCTGGCAATCGATATATAGAGGATATTCAAGTTTTTTCTATAAATACATGATTTATTTTCATCGAGTGGTATGAAAATAAATATTTCATGAGTGGCGGTAGCCACGAGTGAAATATGGTAATTTTCATGCCACAAGATGAAAATAAATCATGTATTTATAGAAAAAACTTGAATTTTCTGTTTATTATATACATTTTTCTCTTTCTGGACATTACAATTGAAAGACTTTCCCTTAAATATTGAGTACTGGCAGAATTTAAAAGAAAGTAGTCCGGCAAGACACCAGTGAAAATACGGAAAATATGTTTCACTGCAGTGAAAAAAAAATTTTTACAGTGAAAATACGGAAAATGAAAATACGCATTTTATTTCATCAATATTTCTCAATATTTCATTTAAAAGTATAAAATAAATCGCTGTATCGCTGATAATTCATTACCGATATATCGATACAAAAATCCTTATCGATGACACCTCTACCTTTTTCCAATATTGAAATTATTATCAGATCCATTCTTATCAATTTAGACTTGTTTCCATTCAAGAGTCCAAAAATCTATATCAAATGCATATTGTATCCCATATAGCCTTAGGTCATTATTTTTTGATATTTCGGTTAACTGACCCGCCGACTCTGTATTTTGGGAAATGAAAAAAAATAAAAAATTCTGCCCCCCAAAAAATTCTGTGTTGTCTTGAAAAACGCCGCTAATAATACGACTTGTCAAAGAAACGTCACGGTAAGTATTTAAATTCACTTTTAAACCTACCATATGCAAGACTATTTTACATACTTTTTTATACGATTTATACAGTGAGATACGCAACCGGTTATCTTTACTCAAGAATAGCCTGTAATAGAAATCTGCTGCAATATTGACAAGATCAGTATTTTCAGATTTAACAAAAAAAAATTAGTCTTTAAAAGCAGATTGCATACAGGTTTTCAAACAAACAAAATAAAAAAAAATGCACTATTAATAGATTTTTATGTCAAAAATTGACCCACTAATTATCCGATAAAAATATGGTCCTAAAAATATTTTCACAATGGGCAATAATTGAACATGTTTATTACATGTTTTGCAGTAGATTACTGAATAATAACGGTTAATTATATTCTGATAATTTCACAGTAATGATTACCAAATATAATTTCACAGTAGCCGAACTATATTTGGCGTAAAAATAAAATATTTATCATTAATGAATGTTTTTTTCAGCGGAAATGTAGTCAATCATAATAAAAAATGTACGTGATAGCTGTAGTTCGTAAATATTTACGAACGTTGTGCTGAAAAACATCTAAAATCTAAAAATAATCATGGAATTATATTTTGCTTCAACATTGTGACGTCATTATTTGATGATGTCATGAAGATAAGAGCATGACGTTACGCGGCAAAAATCAGTAAAATGGTGTAAAAATCGTTAAAAAATCATGAAATAAACAGAAAATTTGTTTGTTTTACATGTAAGATCAAATAATATTTCACTCGTGAACCCCAGCTATTATATTTTCACTCGTGGCTACGCCACTCGTGGAAAATATTGCATCTGGTGTTCACTCGGTGAAATATTTTTCGATCTTACACTGAAACAAACAAATATCCTCTATATAATCTTTTCTTGACATTTTTTTTAACTTCTGATCTATAAAGAAATGAGTGCAAGTCAGCTGAGTTTCGGCACCTTTGATGATTCAGATTACACAGAAGTGTGTAAACATCAAAGAATGACAGATGCTTTTGAAGGGCTAGCTTGCCACTTGTCATAAGTCATCGTGTGTAGATTTCACGTGTGTTTTAAACAATGGCAATGTGAGCAAAAGTTTTTTTTGTGTATTTAGACAATCTTTGGAATAGACAATCAGCAATGGATTTAATTTCATTGCTCTAGTAAGTACTATGTATATGTATGCACCACATTTATAGTTATGAAAACCTTTTTTTTTTTCTTTTTTTTTCCGCCGCCGACCCTACCTTTTTTTTTGGAAAAAATCAGTAAACCAAAATATAAAAAAAAATTGGCCTTATTTTTCATTTTCAGAATCCAAAAATCTATATTTAATGCATAACATACTCCATCTACCCTCGTTTTCATTTTCAGACTCCAACAATCTATATCAAATCCATATTGTACTTGAAGAAAAAGTTCTGTCAAAATGTCCAAAAAAATGAAGGTGTGTGAAATGAAGAGGTCATTATACATTGTTGAAAAGAAAACTGCTTCTAATATGGACTAGTACAGAGCTGTAAAATCTAACTTAGCTACATGTAGCAACTTGTCCAATATTGGGTTGACATCTGTGTACTTTTACAAATTGAATATTGAATTCTACTGTAATGGTAGAAGCTCTCATACAACGAATGATATAAATAAAACTTAAATAATTAGAAAGTGCTGAAAAATACTGTAATTTGTTTTGGCTTTAAAAATTGTAAGCAAAACCATTGAAAGCAAAAGAAATGGAGTTCATTACTATTTTTTTCTGTTTAAATTTGATATTAAATTATTTATAAAATTACCTGCGATGTAAACCTTCGCAAAGAAAGAAGCTCCTTTTTCCTGTGATGCAAAGCTGTCTTGATAACAGTTTCATGTCCCTGAGAAAAAAAAATAAAATGCAAGAAATAAAAATTGCAATTCAATAATACATACAAACAGACCTAATTTTGATATTTAATTATTAATACGTATTTCAATTCCTTGTCTATCAGTCAACAGTGTATCAGGTTACTTATTTGTATTTATTTTTTGTTACCAGCTTAACACTCACTAAGTACGGTATGTCAAATGAACTGTCACAGTGCACAACTTATCACTTTAAAGGGGAGATTCTGTGCAAGTGGCAGGATAACACGGAAGAGCTGTGGTAGGGTATTCCAAGGGTCCCAGGTTCGAGTTTCAGTCAGGCTGCACATATTTCTCATCCTGTGACACAATGATTTATCTTTCAGAGAAAATCAAAATTTTAAACTGAACAGCAAAAAGTGCAGATCATCAATATAAATGTTCTGAGGCCTACATGGAAGATCAGGAAACTGAATGTGAAATAATTAAAGCTTTGTTAAATAAAGCATAACTTACTTACTTACAAACTGGACTTGGTCCGCACTGATTGCAAGGGTAAATTCAATTGCAGGTTTAAGAAGGCCCATTTAGATCATAATGATAAATATAAATTATTTTGCTGATTTGTTTTTGTTCTAAAAATTGATGATATTCAGTGAACATCAAGATGTTCAATTCTGTCTCCAGAATGTATTGCCACCTTAATTCAATAACTGGTTATTATATAACTCCTATAAAATTTAGAAGGACTTAACGCGTTACTGAAATGATGCGGTATGTGAATCATGTTTATAGCATGTCAATCATAATCAGGGGATATCACTGGTCAAAATCCAACAAGAGGTGAAATTCTGTTTCAACACCCACAATCAAAATTTGTGTGTGATTCACAATGTAGTAAAGATACATGACGTAAGTTTAGTCACTGGACATTAACTTAAAGAGCTTTATCCTTGGTCCACTAAAAGGAGGTTTATAATTTCCTAGGAAAATCCAAAAATTGTAATATAAGTGTTACTGGTATCAGGTATTTGAAAGTTGCCCCCCAAGTATATTATAAGAATCTTACACAGCCTGCCAGTACAGACCAGAATATCTAGCTGAAGAGTAATTGTTTACAGCGGTAACTCAGCCATCTCAGTTTACGCTAGACAGCCTGTTTGATTCTTTTCTTGCATATTACAAATTAATGATACTAGGAAAAGAAATTATGTAACTAATATTTTCATTTAGAATTTTTTCTCATAGTAGCGTATGAATTTACAATTTCATTCATAACCGTACAATGGCGTCATCTTAAGAACGCAATGAATATAATGCGCGTGGGAATGATGTCATCTAAAACATGCTTCTTAGCTTACATGTAGGGTGTAAGACAGGTTTTTCTAGCACCAGTGTAAGCAGTAAATTATCCTGTCAGATATGCAAGAAAATACAGTACAACCTCTGAAGAGTGGCCCTCTTTAAAGCAATCAACTCTTTACAACAGTATCAATTTTTCACAAAAAGTGTTAAACTTCACAATAAAATTAACCTCTGTAGAGCAAAACCTCTCAGCAACAACCAAACATCTTTGTCTACCAAAGGGTGTTGCTCTACATAAGTTTGTGCTGTATTTGCAAATATTGGATTCTTTATTTGTTTGTTTGTTTAATTGGGTTTACGTCACACCGATACATTATAGGTTCAAATTGCGACGTTCCAGCTTTACTGTAGGAGGAAGACCTCAGGTGCCCTTCCCTGCATTATTTCAGGCATGAACGGGCACCTGAGTAGAACCACCACATTACGTGAGCTTGCTGTATAGCTTCCTAGCATGAAAGAATCCAAAGTCCCTTTAGGCAGTGTTCGAAATTAGCAGTAGTCCGATAGCCCCTGACTACTAAATTTCTCCTGGGGCTACCAACTTTTCACAGTAACAAGCCGACCAGGCTACTGTATTTTCAGAGGCAATATCAACAACTGTTTTGAACAAATGAATCGTGCTAGTGAAATGTCTTTTGGGCTAGTGAATATTCCAGTCTGGTAGTCCGACCAGCCTAGTCGATTCAAATCCTAATTTCTTACACTTTTTAGGGATTCGAACCCACAGAGGTGCGGGGCAAGTGGTTTGAAGTCAGAATGCATTTAATCATGTTTTAAGTGTTACCCTTATTTGACCTATATGAAAACATTGTAGAAAAAGTTGTAATGCCATCCACAGAGATCAAAAATTCCACTTGTACCCTCGTAATTACGAGTACAATTTAAGAGATCTTGATTTTGCGGGGACTGGTGGAAAAATGTTGCTGAACATTGGATTTAGAAGCTACTTGTCTTACAGGATGAGTGACTCTGAAAATGTTGTTCAATGCCTGAATCCAGTGATCAGAAGAATTTTATAAGTACTTACTGACATACACTCAGCCACATATCGTCGTTTTCGCTTGTTTTCTTTTCGTAGATTGGCTATGATCTTCTCACCCTCCATCTTTTTCACTTCACAACTCTCGTAGAAAGCATTTACGTCTCTTTCTATAGATTTTTATAAAAGTTAAAACAAGTGATAAATTTTGATTTTTAAAATCTTGTCATTTTGAAGTATTTTGAGCCGCAAAATAAACTTACATGTAAATTGGGAAAATGAATCAGAAAAACTGGCACTTTGTGAATTTTGTAGAGGAAGAGAAAGAGGCTGTGAAATAATGAATAATATTCCAGTTGCTAAAATAGATCACCAGTTTGAATCCTCATGAAGCAAACAAATCAGCTCAATAAAGTCTAAAACATCTGCTAAACAATAGAGATCTATGTTCAAATCTGTAATGAGTGGACTGGAACACATTGTATATTCAATAACTATCTATATATATAAATCTTTGACAAACTCAAGATCAATCAAACCAGCCATTTTTTAGAAATAGTTAAGAAATAGTCCGCTAAGTTTACAGTCTTGTGATTTGTTCTAATTATCCCACTTAATGAGTAAGTAACAGTATACCTTTGAGATGTAGCTTTCCTCTGGTCTCTTCTACCATTTCTGCAAGCGTCCAAGCCTTATTAGCCACGCTTTTTGGGTCCGTCTTTGCCAGAACCCCAGGCATCTCGTCAGTATGTTATTGACAAGGGCAGGAAACCCTTTAAAATTCAACAAAGATCATTATCTTACTAAAAAAGAGTTAACCCTTAGCCTGCTGGCGGCAACTGAAGGTCACCTCAACAATGATGACTCATGATATGTTAACTTAAATTACTTTTTTTCGGCTTAGTGTGGCTGTAACAGTTTCAATGAATGTCTGACATCATTTTTGATGAACATCATTTCCAGCTTCAATGAAAATTGTTGAAAATTACTGTTTTTTACTTATAAGATAAAAGAACAAAAAGAAATTTTTTTCTGAATATGCTTATAATATATAATATACAGTCTTCGAAATAAACATTTTGAAGTTGAATAACTTGCCATTTTGGCCATTCTAAGGGACCCAGCAGTGTTGGGATAGTGTAAAAAAGTAATTCTAGAAAAAAAAAAATGAGCCATGTCACGACAAAACCAACTTAATGGATTTGCGACCAGCATGGATCCTGACCAGCCTGCGCTTCCGCTAAGGCTCCCACGTTTACAATTTTTTGTAAACGTTTACACGATTGCTAAGAACCGAAACGAAACCCGTTTAAACGGTGGTACCTCTACTACTATACACACCATGTATTTAAGTCGCCAAATGATGTCTTTTCTTTCTATATTTTATACATGTACAAATAAAGAATGTGCAGGGCTAAATCACGATGAGTCAGCACACATTTTCTGCATTGTAACCCCATTTTTTACCAAAAATGTACTATGTCACGAGCAATTCTGCCACCTTAATGTTGTGTGGAGGGTGTGTAAACACATATTTTCCGTTTGTTTACTTTGAAATAAACCACTAGAATTGCTAAAATCCATGATTCAGGCAAAAAATCCATGATAACAGGCAATGATTAAGAAATTTTGTAAGACAATATGGGCATTTCGATTAAAAACGGTAAACAAATATCGTAAACGTTTATGAATGAAAATCGAAAACGAACCCGTTTAAACGTGTAATCGTGGGGGGCCTTAGCTTCCGCACAGTCTGATCAGGATCCATGCTGTTTGCTATCAGTTTCTCTACTTGTTATAGGGTCTATAAGCAAAACAGCATGGATCCTGATCAGTCTGCGCGGATGCAGGCGCGGACCATGCAGGTCGCAATACCATTATGTTGGTTTTGTCATGACACGGCTCAAATATACTGTATAGTTATATATATATGCAGTATATACTCTTTTTCTAGTTTTTTTCCTAATCTTCAGGTAAAAAAGAAACAAAAGGAAATCCAAGATAAGTCTTTAATGTGTCATATCTTATTAATTCTCATTCCCTGCTATACATGTTT